AACAAAAACTTTGAACAGTTTCATTGGCTCCAAAAATGTGAAGTAAATGATACCGCTTTACTTGTTATTGTCGATCATCTGAAAATTCTTTCGGCTGATTTACAAGAAATATTTTCTGATTTAAAACAAATTGATTTTCCAACACGGATGATGCAGTCAATGTTAGTGGATTTGTCTGATATATGTCAAATATGCAATATCAAGAAGAACTCGCAGAAATGCAAAATGATGAGTCACTTAAAACTTTATTTAATATAAAAGGAGTGATGGCATAGCTTTGTGAGGAAACAGAAATCAAATACCCAAATTCAACCAAATGTGCAAGAAAACTATTGTTACAGTTTCCATCTTCATATTTAGCTGAATGTGGATTTAGTTCTATAAATGATTTACTGTTAAAAAAAGAAATCGTCTGGATGTAATAAAAAAGGGAGACTTGAGACTGAAGCTAACTAAATCGGAACATAAAATCTCTGTGCAGCAAGCATCAAGCGTAAGGATCTTAATAAATTAAAATATTAAATTATTATAGAAAAATCTTAAAATTATTTCGACTTTGATTATATTAAAAATTATATTGAAATTATTTCGAATTTGAATTTTAGTTTTTCATTATATGTTTTTAAAATTTACTTACTGCATTTCGTTACCAATTTCCTAGTGATTTTTTCCTAAAACCCATCATTAAAGTTTCTTACGAATTCAATTTTTTAATATTAAAAATTATGTATATGTTACATAGGGGGGTCTTAGAATTTTAGAAAGGCTTAGGTGGGGCAAGGCACGAAAAAGGTTGGGAAACACTGATGTAGATGATCCATTACACACAGAGGTAATGTGATCCATTACACAGAGAGGCGTTGGTAGGATTTGCAGAGCCAGGGGACAAACTCAGTTTTTACGCCTCCTTTCATTTTGGTGTGAGACTTATAGGGGTCTTTTTTTTGGACCACATTAAAATATTTATGTAAAAATTACAAGGCTACGGAGTTGAACATTAGTAGTCGTAACCCCAAAATTGGGTCGGAAATTCAACGACAGTTATAAGATAAAAATTTTACAAATTCCTCCCAGTTCCCATAACAAATCAATACCTTTGGGGGTAGATCCTGAAGCTCCCTTGTCTTCTGGGTTAGGATCAAAATTACAAGGATTCCGGAGTTGAACTTTGGTAGTCGTAAATCGAGAAATGGGTCGGCTGTTCATCAACGGTTATTAAATTAAATTAAATTAAATTAAATTAAATTAAATTAAATTAAATTAAATTAAATAGTAGATTGTTAAATTTCACTTAACTTAAAATAAAATATTTTTTAAGACAATGTAACTTTATAACTTAATTTTCGATTTAATTTAAAATTCAATCGTACTATTGTTAAAATTTAATAGTATTTCTTTATTCTAAGTGGATGATTTTGATCGCGTTTACTGTGTTTGATGGAATGATAAGCGTTTATTCCATAAAGGCAATTTTCATTCAATACGTTGTCAATTTGTTATAAATAATTTATTTAAAAAAACCTTAGTGTAAAGCAAACTACAGTGATAGTAATAGACATTATTGCAGTTTGCTTAACACGTAGGTTTTTGAATAAATCAAACACATTTTATTTTGTTCAATTTATAGGTAAATCGGATAAAAGGTTAAGGAAGTTATGGTGTCCGTAATTTGGAATGAAGATGGTGATATATAATGAAGAGAAACAGTTTATTCTGGAATTTATTTATTATTTATTTATTTCTTTTAAATAAATTTTGCCCTCTTCAAAGGCTGCTCCCAGGAAAGGATGTTACCTCAAGCCCCCCACTAGCTACATGTAGGTTCTTTTTGATCGCTCTCACAATGTGTGGTTAGTTAAATGATAAACGAGTATTTAAAAGAATTTTTATTCAATATGTCGCCATTTTCTTAGGAACAAAACATCTACATGCAATAAGAACGATAATACTAGTACTAATAGTAAATATCTTATTAAGTTTGTGGGTGAATTGGAATAAAAATTGAGGAAAGAAGTATAAAGACCGTAATTAGAAAATAGAGAGATTTTGCATACCGTTTATCTTGCATTTACCATCGCGACAACCATTTTTTTTCGGAAAATTTTTGATGAAGCTTTGAATAGCTAAAATAACATTAGAGTTAAAGGAAGCTATTATAGATGAATAATAATTTTGCTGTAATCCTTTGTAAAATCTCTCTAAAGTGTGTGGAGATAAGTCTTACCAGTATTTCCTTAAACGACTATTTTAAATAGATATCAAAATAAAGTTTATCTAAAATGTTATAAGAATTAATTTGCATATGTTTTTGCTTATAAAGGTATCAGCAAATTTAGTGAGACAACTAGTCTTGCTTGCAGCAATTTCTGGCATTCACCCTGAAATGATTTATCTGATTCTCAAAAGAAGAGGGACGAACAATGAAAAGGGTACACGGATATTTTTTTTATGAAATTATGCGAAACATTTTTCTAAGTGTTGAATGCTATTAGGAACCTAATTGTTCTAGTAAAGGACTCTTTACTGGATCTGAAAACTCTCTTTCCATTATCTATACTTTAAAAAATTGTAAATTTAAAAACTGTGTACACTTTAGTTCCGAAAAATATTTTTGTCAAAAATATTATTCAAATTTAAAAGATGATACCAGATACCAGAGATGGCCATCATCACCGTGTGCAAAATAATACTTGCTTAAAATTTTAAACACTCAACACCGAACATTATAATACATAGACTTTTATAAACTGTTAAATTAGAATGATTTATTGTAAAAAAATAAAACTTGAGCAATTTTATTTATTTAATTTTTTTGGCAATATTAATTCGTATTAATTATATTCTTCTTATGATCATCGCATAAAACAATTTTTTAGTTCTAATTTTTTTTATAATTATCAAACTTTTTTATAATAGATAGTAAAATACAGTAACATTTTTAAATTGGTTTCTAAGATGTCAACAAAATAGTGAACCAATTAATATGAATTTCGTTCAGACCGTAGTGAACAACGCTTAAACTATGATCAATATTTATTTTTAAATTTATTTTTTAATAAAATTCAGCAAATTTCAAAGTACCATCAGATGGGGTGACTTTGTGCAGGAATTTTCAGTTTTCCAACTTTCACCTAATAAAAAAGTAGTTAAAAGATGCTGAATTGTACAACATCTGATCTAAAATTTGTTGTTAGCCATCTGGGAAGTAATTGCACATAGCTAAAAGCTGATTTGAATTATTTATTATTTGTAAACAATCAATTAGTCGAATGCACAAACTCAGCCCTGGATGGGGTGACTTTGAGCCTTGGCCTTGAGCCTTGAAAATAATGACTTTAGTTCAGTTATTTTCATTCACTTTGACTTAAAATCGTTTAATAAACAATATCTGACATTGTTAACGTACAATACAAGTATATCTATTATATATAAATATGCGCTATGTATTAGCAAATCTACTTAAGATGAACATAAAAACTTTAATTATTAGATTTTTTAACATTTTTAGATTTTTCCTTATTGATTAAATCTTAAGTAACTTTTTTTATGATTTTCAGGTACAATCAAACATTTGATATGAATTGACATGAATGAACAGTTGAATGAATTCCCTCATTCAACATATTATTGAATATTATTTTTCATTCTCATATTGTTATTTTTCATTTCAATTTCCATATGTTAATTGTTTAAGACATTTAATAAGAGACTGTTAATAAGGATCATTCTGAGTTGCAGAATTGGAGGAAATTTGGGGGAGTTGGGAATTCATTCATGTCAATTCATTATTGTATGCTTTAGTAGCGACATCTAGTGACTTTATTAAGAAACAGATTACTTGGTTAAACTTTTGTCGTCCAAATAGGATATTAAAATGCTTAAAACCCTAAAAACTTTTAAAAGCAGAAATAGATGACTAAAAACGTTCTAGGTTACATCAATCAATCAATGAAAACACAAACAAACTTATTTTCAAGCTTTGGAGCATCTAACTTCTCTCTTAGTGACTTCTATTCCAAATTCTATTCAAATAAATTCCTCTGAACAATTTTTGAGCATCTGTTGCTCAATTTATTCAAATACTATTTATCCATTCCTTAATATTTTTATAAAATTGAATTATTGTGAATTCCAGATGCAATTTTGTAAATCATATATATCTGATATGTAAATATATCTGTTTTTTTTGGGGATGCAGGAAAAAGAACGAAACTTGAATATTTTATATATATTTTGTACAAATTGAAAATTGTATTGAAATTTATTTCAATTTAAAAAATCTTATTATAATCTTAAAAATCTTATAGAATAACTAATTGTTTGGAAAAAAGAAGATAAAAAATTACTTATTGTACAGAAATATAGGCATTAAAGTTGCATGTCCTAGTGCAATTTCAATGTTTTCAAATTCATATTATGCATTTAAATAAATATAAATAACAAATATATTGTAAGAAAAATAAACATTTGCAGCCTTTTAACATATGAACTGAAATTACCTATTGAACCAAAATACAGGCGTCAAAGTTGCATACCATAGAACAAGTTAACTGATTCCAAACTTATATGTTATAGCATAATTATTGTGATGAAAAACAATTTTAGACTTCACAAATTTTGGACATAAAGTCTATTTACATCCAAAAATATAGGATATCAAATGTGTTTTTTATATATTAATTTGTCATTGAAATAAATTTACATTATTTGAACTTCCTTTTTTGAAAACTTAACAAGTAAGAACGAAATGTCCCGTTTCCATGGTCTTTTTAAATCTACCAAATGTGCAGTCATAGGAATGATTCATGTAAAAGCATTGCCAGGTAAGTATTTTCTCCTACTTTTATCATCTGACAAATCAAATCAGTGAATTGTCATATGGAATATATGATTGCCAAATTCAGAAGCTGATACCTTAGTATACATTAAATATATGTGATTTGGTCTCAGCTTCTTTTGTTTAATTATAAATGTGACAAAATTTGAATTCTTTTGTGAGTAAAGAGTTTAGTAAAGCAAGATTGTAAGTGACATTTTTGAAACAAATTGAGATTCTTAAAAGACTGTTTAATTATTATTTTTTTTTTTTTAAAGAAGTATAAATTTGCAGTAAAGAATTGGGGTTTCTTTGTTTCTATTCAAGATTTTGAAAGATAATTTCACATATTTTAAAATTTTTTACTAGTATTATTCCCCCCCCCCTCATGTTTATTTGTTGAGTTATTTAATTGTTTCCATATATTTTAGACACCCTGTGTATAAATTCTCTATTTAAAATTTTGAAATTCTCTTTTTATTAAATATTCTCTTTTTTTGAAATTCTCTTTTCATTAAATATTTGATTTGATACTTCTTTATAAAAGGATTCTTTTTTCCAAACAGATTTTTCTTTTTAATTTTTCATGTTTTTTCTCCTTTTTTCCAATTTTATGCTTGGAAATGAGAGATTTTAATAAAGTTCAAACATGTTCTCAAGTCTTAATTAGATATTGGTTTAACTAAAAATTAACAAGAATTAAAGTGATTTCAGACTTTTATGTCAATGCATACAATGTTTCAAATTGTTAAATTAGTTTTTGATTCTTCTCTTTAAAAGATACTCCAGAGGTTGTATATTATTTAAATGTATGATGCGTACATGTTTTTTAAATTTTGTGTATTCATTCCATAAAATGCAATTAATTTGTGTTTTTAAGCTTTATTAAAATATAGATTTGTTTGTTGTATATAGGTACTCCAAAATCTTGCTTATCTGTACAACAGCTTATTGATAGTGCTTGTGAAGAAGCTCTCATCTACAAGAAATGTAAAATAGTAAGGTCACCTTCATTTTATTTATTTATTTTTACTTGAAAAAAGTATTGAAATTTAGGTGTGTTAATAACTTATTTACACTTTTTATGCTTCATTGTACTGTTTGTCTTTTTGTACAATAATTAATTATTATATATATACATTTTAATCATTTGTTCTTAACTGTATATAAGTTATTTTACATTCAAAGTGAAAATTATAAGTACAATAAAAGTCCATTCTAACAATAATCCATAATAGTAGTTGGATTTGTCATAGCTAACTGGTCACTTTAAGCAACCACTCATATTTAATGATAATATACAATAATAAAGATAAGTGTAGTGTAATAGTCTATAATAGTTTTTCGCACAATTGATAACACTGAATGTTGATTTCAACAGTAGGCTGTCAAGAAAGTAAATACGATTGTATAGCTAGATATGAGGTATGCAAAAGGTTCATCCATTTAAAGTGTGCAGTAGGATTTCTAAAAGTAGCAAAAGGTTGTTTCTTTTGTAAAAAATAAGACAATGTGGCGAGTGGTTGCTTATGTATGTTTGCTTTATTAACATAAAGGATTGAGATTGAAAGATAAAAAAAAAATAAGGTGAAATGTTTGTTTCTCACTTTTCTGTATTGGTGCTAGACATAAATAAAAACATATAGAAACATTTTCTTTTTCACACTTTTTCATAAAGCAGAAAAATGTATCTTCCTCTACTGTCACAGAAAACTAGTAACTTTTTACTCATTATAAACAATTTTAGTATCTTTAATATTACTCTTTTCAAAATGACAGGCTTCTTGTTATATCAAGCTTTTACTGTAATTAAAATTGGCAGCTCTGTCTAGTAAAACTAAGTTTTGTTTGATGGCTCTAAAATTATTTCTATTCAAATTGTTTGTATTGAATTTTTTTTTCTGTTTTACATTGAAATCCTGTCCTGCCATATCTAGTATAGAATGAACATAACTGACATTTTGTGTTATTATTTCTATTAATGGTTGGCCGTGTAAAGCTAAGCATAGATTGCGCTAGGGGTTAAAATTTGTCCTAAGACTTCCAGGTTACTACTGCTGATTTTTATGCCTAAGCTTGAAAAAACGTACCATCCAATATTATTATATTTTCAGTTTTTCAATATAACATGTTGTTTCAATCTAACTTTCACCGAAACAAACCAAAAATGAATTAGGAAGACTTTGCTATGATGTTACCCAAAAAATAACAAACTGTGATATTTTACACAAATATAGCCAAATAAGGGGTAACACTCAAAACATGGCACACTTAATCTATGTTTTGATATTAATTTTCTTTAAAATTTGTTTTAGACTCGCAACCAGTTAGAATTTATAAATTACAGGAAACTTTTAAGAGTGGTTATGCAAATTTAAACATAAATCACACTAATAAAACTTCCTAGAATATTAAGTCCATTCACACATTGCCTCGTAAGCATAACATAAGCGGAGAGATACATCGGAAGTTTCTCTTCCTGTTCTAGGAAGCTTTTTATTGTTTACATTCAATATATCATCCATAAGCAAGTTAAAGAAAAAATTTGATCAAAAAACACTTTTGCTTTACCATTGAAATCATTTTGATAGTTTAAGTCTCTTGTAAATCTTTTCTTCAGGATGGAATTATAGTGGAAAACATGTTTGATGTTCCATATGTAATGGGAAAGCAAGTCGGTCCTGAAGTAACATCAGTCATGACAAGAGTTTGTTCAGAAGTGAAAAATGTCATGGGGAAAATACCTTGTGGGGTTCAAGTATTATCAGGAAATAATTTTTGTGCGACTGCTGTAGCATTTGCTGCAGGTTTGTTTTATATTTTTTTCTCTTGATTTTTCACAGCTAATATATTTTTGCCTTATATTTTTACATCTCATTTTAAAGATTGACAGAAAAAGTTAAATTTTTATAATTTTTGTTTTCTGTGGGAACTTTTGATATTACCCTTATGTGAATTATGGAACAACAATTTGCAGTAGTGATCATTTACCTTAAATATGGCTTTAATTGCTTTTCCATTTTAATATACTAATTATTATAGACCAATATCATAAACATATTTTTCATTTAGCCAAAATTTTAATAATAATTCAAATTATATCATGTAATAAAGTAATGACTTCTAAAAAATGAAAAGGATTATTTGAAACTCTGTAAAATTGTCATTATTATGTCTTCAAAATGTTGTGGTAAAGCCTCAATTGTAATTAAATTTCTTGTACATTGTTTCAGCATGTATTTTAGCTATCATTTATCGTGAGAAAAATGAGTTATTGTTAAAAACTGCTACTGTTTTTGCTATTGTTAAAAACTGCTTGTTAAAAATTGTTGAAAACTGCTATTGTTAAAAACTGCCATGACTGTAGACAGAGAAATACTAAATCTCCCATAAATAAACAAATTTCTTGTTCTTGTAATAGAAATTGACAAACTCTTTTTTACCATAATACGAATTTTTATTGGAACAATTTCAAGTTATATATAAAATAATAATTTATAGTTTTGACATATTTTTTAAATCAAAATTATGTTGGTCTCTCTTAGATTTGTGAGTTTCAATAGTTCCATCATTGATTAAAAATACTTATGATAAAATTGATTTAAAGTATTTATGATACTTAGAACTAATTTTATCTTATCTATAGCTCTGTTTCCAGATGTTGAAAAGAATAACATTTAAAATATAGCTGAGATCATTTTGTTAAAAACCTTTAATTTTTATTTAATCCTGTATNGGTCAAATGATTGAGTTTACTTAAAATTTAATTAATACTTACTTACTTTAATTTAATTTAATCAAATACTTTTCTTAATTTAATGACAACTAACCTCCCCCCCCCAACCAGCAAAAAATTTTTAGTTGCGCTACAGTTTTAAAGAAAAGAAACAATAAACGGAAGGAAAAATAAAGGAAATGATTCTTACCAAAACATTTTTTTTTTTTTTTTCATTAATCTACATACTTAAAAAAAATTTTTTTTTGTGTTTTTTTTTATTTCAAGCTCATTTCTTATCATTTTGAAAAAAAGATAAGACAGAAAGATGAGAAAAAAAGTTGCAAGACATAAAACTATTGCTCGCTAAAACTGGGTCTTGCTCGTTAAAAGCGACTTCTGTTCCATGGACTTAGCATTGATCCAACCAAATATTCTCATTTCCCTCTGTAAATCCGAGTTCTCGTTAAATCTGAGCTCGTTATAAACGAGTTCGACTGTACTAATTATTATAGATCAATATCATAAACATATTTTTCAGTTAGCCAAAATTTTAGTAATAATTCAAATTATATCATGCAATAAAGCAGTGACTTCTAAAAAATGAAAAGGATTATTTAAAACTCTGTAAAATTGTCATTATTATGTCTTCAAAATGTCGTGGTAAAGCATCAATTGTAATTAAATTTCTTGTACATTGTTTCAGCGTGTATTTTAGCTATAATTTATCATGAGAAAAATGAGTTATTGTTAAAAACTGCTACTGCCATGACTGTAGACAGAGAAATACTAAATCTCCCATAAGTAAACAAATACACAAATTTCTTGTTCTTGTAATAGAAATCGACAAACTCTTTTTAACATAATAAGAATTTATATTGGAACAATTTTAAGTTATATATAAAATGATAATTTATAGTTTTGACATATTGTTTAAATCAAAATTATGTTGGTCTCTCTTACATTTGTGAGTTTCAATTGTTCCATCATTGATTAAAAATACTTATGATAAAATTGATTCAAAGTATTTATGATACTTAGAACTAGTTTTATCTTATCTATAGCTCTGTTTCCAGATGTTGAAAAGAATAACATTTAAAATATAGCAAAGATCATTTTGTTAAAAACCTTTAATTTTTATTTAATCTGGTATAATCTTGTAATTGCCATACAAAATTGTAATTTTGGTTGATTTATCAGTCAATAAAAAAACCCAACTATTTCAACAAAATAAATAAATAAATAAAATTTAAAAAAAGGGAGTTATACAGGAAGAACATAGAATGTTCTTATTCCATTTACCATGTCACCTGTTAAACTATTATTTTTTTTCTTCTAATATTTTCTTTATAAATTGCTGTTAGTGCTGTATGTGCCACTGTTGAAAATGGGGAAAAGTTGTAGCTTTCCCTCTAGTTAATTAAATAATTAAACCTTTTTATGAGCCTTGGGAAAATTACTTCACCTATGTGATCTTGAAAATGCACCTGTGAAGAACCCAAAAACTATTACAATATATTAGCCTTGCCATTATAACAATGGGAACACTAATTTTAGCACTCACTTTTAAGCTGCCATCTATTGTTCAATCCTTTGAATGGAATTAGCAAACTTGTTTTGAGATTTAGAATGTCTTGTGTAAAATTTGCTCTGCTAAGATTCCTATTTTGATGTAAAATTTGCACTGTTCAACAACTTTACTGCTAATATGAGTAAAACACTGCTTTTATTGTAATAATATTTTCTTAATTTGTATAATTTTGTACCAGTAACTCCAATTTTATNTGAAATTTGGCAAAATAAAAAATATTTATTTAAATGCTATTGTTAAATTGTTAATAAATCATAAGAAACTGGGAGAGTTTCACAAAAATCAATGGCCTACAAAAAGGTTTAGCAAGGATTTTGATGCATTTTTAGTATATATATGCTATTTCAAGCTCGTTTTTCATACTGCAGATTTTTGATTTTTTTTGCAAGTCCTTTAGTATCAGTTGTACAAATAGTGCATAAAAATAAATTGCTATTAACAATATCAATGATTTAAAATATGAATTATTTATAAAAAATACTGATTAAATTAGTTATAATAATAATAATATTTTATCTCTTAGTACATAGAAATCAAGAAATTGTTTTTAATAATTATCTTTTTATTGAAAAATGTTTCTAAATATTCATTGTAGAAATTTATGAAGCAAAAATTTACAACAAAAGAAATTAATATTTTTTTGTTCTTTACTCTTTGTAAAAAATTATAAAATAAATTTCCTACTTTTTTCACATTTTGACCCACAATACTATTTGATCCTCTTATAGAATTTCTGTTTTATAAACTATATATAACATAATAAAGACTAAAAGAAAAGAAAGAAAAGGCAAAGAAAATTAAGTTTTATTAACTTATATAAATATATGTTGAGAGAGGGATGGTGACTTGATCTTTTATGTCTGGCAGATTTCATTCTTAAAACCTTTTTATTTTTTACTTATTATGTTACTATGCTTACGATATTTTATTGATTATATGTCAATTTAAGTTAAGATATTATTCCTTTACAATTTTATGTACATTTTTGTCTTTTATATTGTAGGTCTACAATTTGTCCGTGCAGAGAGCTATGTCTTTGCTCATGTTGCTGATGAAGGGTTAATGGAAGCATGTGCTGGTCCATTGTTAAGATATGCTAAAAACATTGGTGCTGATGTTTTGTATTTTACAGATGTAAAGAAAAAACATTGGTAATAATGATGTATTTATGTTTTTTTCTGATTTTAAAAGTTTATTTTTTATATCAAAAACTAATTACATTAAATAATGTTGAGTGTTCATTTTGCATTTAAGTAAAACAAAGTCTTAATATTACTCAACACTTTTTACAGAATAAAGGCTTGATTCCACATTTTTTTAAAAAACATCATCACAGAATATTTTATTTCAAAGCATTTTCTTGTAAAATTATAGGTGTTGGATCTGCACCCTGAATAAAAAAAATGTATTCCGGTTTTTCTTGAATCTTATGTGTACATAACAATGCCCAATGTTTTTTTTAAAACTATTTTAAAAAGAGCTTTCTCTTAACCCATGAAATAAATCTATTTCATAATTGATATCCTCAGTCAAATGTTTATATATATTAAGAAAAAATGGTTAGTTAAAACAATCTCTTGTGTCTTTTTCTTTGCTGTTGCATTTATGTTTATTTGCTATTGTAACAAGTATATAGATACATATTTCCAATTTTAATTCCTCTCATTCTAAAATGACAAAATGATAATTTTTCAGATAAATTTTTTTTTTATTTCTAAATTATTTATTCTGCATTTTTTAATACAATTCAGTATGAAATAAAATGAATGCTCTAAAAATCTTTAAAACTACTTACTCCAAATTACTTTGAAAGTATTAACAGTTACTGTTCACCCAAAACTAAAATTGTATCTCAATATTGCTTCAAATTTTTTAAAAAACATCAATATCCTATTGTATTTTTGTTTATAACTACAATAAATAATTTATAACACTATGCTAAATCAATTATAAAAATCTTTTATATTTGTTTTAGTTCTCATGCTATTACTCAAGATGTGGATATTTGCCAGACAGCTAAGGCAGCTGAATTCTTTCTAAGTGATGGTGTTATTTTAACTGGTACAGAAACGGGTGATCCTCCAAAAATTGATGAACTCAAAGGTTAGTATTTTTAATTAAAATAAATATGTAATTATTATACTGTGTATTTCTTTTTTTTATTATAATTTACTATTCTTATGAATTTTTCTGTGAGTTATTTAAAATAAAAATACAATAATGTTTTCAGGAGGTAAATGTGTCTATTATTATTTTTTATACTATTTTTTAAAAAAAATTTTCTAACTGTTGCATATAAAGAAAAATAGACTACCCATACATTCCCTGAACTTACGTCTTTCACACCTACCATGATTTATTTTTTTTCAAAAAGAGAAATAAATTTTATTGTAATATATATGTAACTAAAAAAAAATTTGCAAAAATGGGATTTTAATAAAAACTTAATCTTTTAACACCTTAATGAACAGATTTTTGAGGAAAAAAAAATAATTTAAGAACATCGTTTGGAATATTGTTTTGGCAAAAAAATATAAAATCAATCAAAATTTTTATTTTAATTTTGCTTTCTTTTGATGATGTCACTGCTTCCTTAACTTCCGTCCTTTTTCTTTTAAACTGCACAGATTAGGGGCGTTGTTTTTATGTTTATTTTATTTTAGTTGTGTCTTGCAGTCAGTTGTGTTATCTAGTTATTGGATTTTTATTTTTAAGTAAGCTTTTGTTCGTATCATTCTTATGTATTCTTTTGTATTTGCTTCTGTAATTTATATTGCATTTTATATTGTATTCTTCTGTATTTTATATTGTATTCTTCTGTATTTTATATTGTATATTATATATTCCTGGACTTTAGCAAAACCTTTGGGGTACAGAGAGGGCAATTTTAGACTTTTGTCTTGGCCCCCTGATGGAAAAGGTTTTGCTTTTATGACTTCCGCAGCTGGTGCCTTTTGAAGACGTCAGCTTTGGTTGTCATGTTTATTCAATTTTTTAAATTTTTTCATTGTTTCATTTGTTTTATGAAATTATGGAATCTTAGCGGAACTAAAATTAAGCAAGGACTAGGATATTCTAAAAATTAGGCCTTAGAGGAAAGCAGTTAAAAATTAAGATAATTTGATTTTAAAAAAAATATGTCTTAAATACACAAATTTCTTGTTCTTGTAATAGGAATCGACAAACTCTTTTTAACATAATAAGAATTTATATTGGAACAATTTTAAGTTATATATAAAATGATAATTTATAGTTTTGACATATTGTTTAAATCAAAATTATGTTGGTCTCTCTTACATTTGTGAGTTTCAATTGTTCCATCATTGATTAAAAATACTTATGATAAAATTGATTCAAAGTATTTATGATACTTAGAACTAGTTTTATCTTATCTATAGCTCTGTTTCCAGATGTTGAAAAGAATAACATTTAAAATATAGCAAAGATCATTTTGTTAAAAACCTTTAATTTTTATTTAATCTGGTATAATCTTGTAATTGCCATACAAAATTGTAATTTTGGTTGATTTATCAGTCAATAAAAAAACCCAACTATTTCAACAAAATAAATAAATAAATAAAATTTAAAAAAAGGGAGTTATACAGGAAGAACATAGAATGTTCTTATTCCATTTACCATGTCACCTGTTAAACTATTATTTTTTTTCTTCTAATATTTTCTTTATAAATTGCTGTTAGTGCTGTATGTGCCACTGTTGAAAATGGGGAAAAGTTGTAGCTTTCCCTCTAGTTAATTAAATAATTAAACCTTTTTATGAGCCTTGGGAAAATTACTTCACCTATGTGATCTTGAAAATGCACCTGTGAAGAACCCAAAAACTATTACAATATATTAGCCTTGCCATTATAACAATGGGAACACTAATTTTAGCGCTCACATTTAAACTGCCATCTATTGTTTAATCCTTTGAATAGAATTAACACACTTGTTTTGAAAGTTAGGATGTGTAAAATTTGCTCTGCTGAGACTCCTATTTTGATGTAACATTTGCACTGTTCAACAACTTTACTGCTAATATGAGTAAAACACTGCTTTTATTGTAATAATATTTTCTTATTTTATATAATTTTGTACCAGTAACTATTTAATATAAGTGGTTTGAGGGGAAGAATACTTACCACCCTGAAATTTAAATGTAAGCATAAAATTTGGCAAAATAAAATATACTTATTTAAATGCTATTGTTAAATTGTTAATAAATCATAAAAAACNAAATCGACGCACCAAGAAGCAATCATTCGATTGCTTTGAAATTTCGTATACTTGAATGTTTTGAACAGATATGGCTGGATTGATGCTGACTGGGGACGTATAGTCGTTAGCGACGAATCCCTCTTCCAACTGTGTCCTGACGATCATTGAAGACGTGTTTGGAGACGCACAGGGCAGAAGGGGGATCCTGCCTTCACTATTACACGCCACACCGGCCCTCAACAAAGCATTATAATCTGGGGTACCATTTCCCTTGACAGCTGGACCGCTTTGGTCGTCATTAGAGGTACACTTACTGGACAGCGGTACGTCGACGACATCCTAAGACCTGTTTTGCTACCGTTCCTTTTGCAGCGCCCTGAGCTGGTTTTTCAGCAGGACAATGCCTGACCACATACGGCACGTGTTGCTATGAGCTGTCTGCAAGCTTGTCAAACATTTCCTTGGCCTGCCAAATCACCAGATCTCTCTCCCATCGAGCATGTCTGGGATATGATGGGAAGGCGATTGCATCTGGCACGGAATGTTGATGACCTCGTTCGACAGTTGGATCGAATTTAGCAGGAAATACCACAAGAGACCATCCCGGAGCTTTATCGGTCTATGCCACGCCGTGTGGCAGCTTGTATCCAGGCTAGAGGCGGGTCAACACCTTATTGAACTTGTTACTGTAACTCTGCAATAAAATACTCAATTGTTCTGAAATTTTAATCATTTACTATTCTGTGCATTGTCTTTCTATCCACCAATTTTTGTTTCAATCGGACAACTCCTTCTTGGTGCGTCGTTTTTTTTGTTATAGAATGTGTATATTATTTTCAATGCATCAGATGTTCATTGTTGTTATTTAAACAGTTTGCTAATAATGATTTTATTTATTGAAATTTGACCCATGTAGTAGAAAAATTGTTTTACTAAAAACATTACTGAAACTTCGGGAAAATCATTAAATGTCTATTAGTTTTAGCAAATATGTAGTTATAATTTTTTCTATTGATCTTTAAATCTATAATAAATAAAGAATAAGAGCAATCAGGAGTGTATGATTTTTTTTTAATATTTTAAAGTGATCTCTTTTACGTTATACTTTTTGTTACTTAAACTTTATACATTTGTTCATTATTATTCACCATACTAGAATTTTATTCATTTATTTTTATAATTAGAATATTTCCTAATTCAAGTATTAGCATTCTTTGATAAATTTTTTTATTTATTTAAACATGATTAGGATCATGGGTTAGAGTCCCCTTGCCGTCAGACTAACCATTGGAGGTTTTCGTAGTTTTCCTGTCCATGTAAAGCAAATCCAGGTTAACTCCATCAAAAAGCCTTCCACAAAAGCAAATTTCACCCAATACTTGGTCCAAGAGTTCCCTTGTCTTCTGGATTGGGTTTAAAATTACAAGGCTATGGAGTTAAACATTGATAATTGTAAACTCAGAATTTTGTCAGCTGTTCATCACCGGTTATAAGATAAAATATAAACTAAACTATGAATGCAATTTATTATAGATTGATTGACGTAATAACATATGGAAGTGATATTTTGAAGTTGGAATGATTTTTTTCCCATCAAAATTTCTTTAAATAGTTATTTTTACAAATGTTTTTATTCCTCCTCTCTACACATTTTAATTGTAATGCTTCTACTATATTTGACTTATAATAACATTTTATTTGATTTTAGCCCTTAAGGAGGCAGTAAAAATACCAGTGTTGATTGGATCAGGAGTTACAGAAGCAAATTTAAAGAACTATTCCACGGCTGATGCCCTTATTGTTGGTTCTCATTTTAAAAGAAATGGTCATTGGATGGGAGATCTAGATTCAAATAAAGTGCTAAAATTTATGGAAAAAGTAAATCTTTTTAGATAAAACAATAGAAACAGTTATTATCTGATTGAAATATCCAACATAAATGTGTTACAATTAATTATCACTAAATGTGTCAAATTTTATTGTTTTCTGTCATCCAATATTATTGTCATCTGAGGTAAACAGTATAAGAAGACCCTATATTCATATTTCACTCAATAAATTATTTAATATTACTATCTTAAAAGAATTATAATCCAAAGACTATTTATTATTTTAAGGTGCCTTAATTTTATTCTGTAATAAAGTCTGATAATATTCGTTTAAATAGTTCCGTGAATTTTGGATTCTTTTTTTTTTCTTCAAATTTAATTAAAAAAATTTCTAATTTTCAACTTAATTTTAGAAATAGATTTTAAAAAGCTATAATTTAATGAATTGTTTTCTTGAAAGATTGCATTAATTACTCTGTTTCTATATTTTTTTTAATTTTAATTTTAGAATATGAAGTACTTTTAAGTTGCTTACATTATTAAAATTTTTTAAAGAAACCTTATATAAATAGCTTTTTGGAATTGCTTTCTGATTTACTGTTTGGAGTTATTATTTTTAACATTTTAAGGTACTTTTTGAAGCACATTTATCTTATGTAGACATGCTTTATAGATTTATACATATATTTATCTAATTTTTATAGATATTTTTTTAAAAATAGGAATGTTGAAAGCGTTTTAAACCATAATATGTTGTCAGTGATTTCAAAGTAAAGAAGAAAGTTCACCTAGATACAGTTGAAATAATTCTGATACAATAAATGAGAGGGACAATTATCCTGAATGATGGCATGTAATAAAGCCAGCTGGCATAAAAAATCACATTGTTTATTCTGCTAAACAGCAATTGCCTTTTATATAGAGATGAACTTTAGAAATGTTTTGAGACATTAGCAATCCCAAAGGAAATTTAGACAACTTTGAAGTTTTGGCGTTTTTTTAGGTTACTTGTTCGTCTTTCACATTTCTTGAATTGCACCTAAAACTCGTGAATTCTCTTCCTAACCATTAAATTATTGATTTTTTTGATAATTCTAATTGTTATTTAATAATGAAATATTAAGCATATTTTCTTTCATGTGTTTTATATTTTCTTTCATCTATTTTATATATTCATTTGGTTGTGAAGGTCATATTAATATATATATGCCGTAATCATCCTATTTTTTTCTATGAACTTCCTCTTGGAGGCTGGGATAACCTGGTTGTAAGGGCACTAGGCCCATGTCCAAGAGTTCGTGGGTTTGACCCCCGCTGACCGAAAATTCCCCGTTTAGAAAATGGTGACTGATGCATGTTAAATCTGGTGAGTCACTAAGTTCTCCATGTTCCCATAACAAATCATACCTCTGGGGGTACTGATCCAGGAGTTCTATTGTCTTCTGGATTGGTTCAAAATTACAAGGCTATGGAGTTGAATATTTGTAGTCTTAAACCCAAAATAGGGTTGGCTGTTCAACGACCGATATAAAATAAGAATTCCCTCTTGGGAAATCTCTAAGAAACTAGTTTGAGGGGTGAGAAATTAAAAATTTTATTACCTAGTCATTTGTCAAAAGTTACAAAAGAACAGTTTAAAAGTTTTGATGTATTATTTGTTTGAAAATACCTGTAATCTACAGTTTTATACTTTTATGAACGAAAAATTTAAGTAATTTTATTTTTAATATTTCATTAGAATTTTTCTTATGAAATATATATTTATACATATTTTTATAAATCAACTATAAATAACCTTTTTTTAGATATATATTTGATTATGTAAACTCAAAGGGTTTAAAGTTAATATTTTTGTGTAAAATTTTAAATTGATGAAAATTACTAGTACTACTTATTACCTACCAATAATTACTAGTAATCTGTATTGTTTGTATCAAACAAAGTTTTGTTTGTATCAAACAAAGATTTGTACTGTACTAAAATAAAGTTTATAATAAATGTGTACAAGATGCTGTTGATTCCAGAATTTTTTATTGGGTTTAAATCTTGGTTGTTTCTTTCCCAATAAATACATAAATCAATTTTTTTTTCTCTTACACCCATAACTACTCATATTGTATTGTAAAGTCACATACTAAACATTTTAGGCTTACTAAAGTCTCAGGAAATTTTGCAAAAATACTGGTTTCCAAGATGGATCAAATTAAAAAGTTGGTTGTCTTAAATTCTGGTGAATAATGTGGCCATTATTGTGTTGAATAACAGGTAAGAAAATATGTATTGCACAGTACAACTGGGCTGGATATCCCTAAATATATTAATTAATTATTTAGACATTCCATAAAAAATATTTTAAAAAGCCTTCTTACTAAACAGCATGAATGTTAAGTCAGAGAAAAAATATTGAATATGATGATATCGAACACTTTTGATAATTATGTTTATCGGATATCATAATATCACGATTTTGGGCAACGATATATATAACAAGGTTCAAAGTTGTCCTTTATTTCCTTAAAAAAAGAAAGTGGCTTTAAATGTCATTGATTATTAAAAATTAATTATTAATCAATAAACGTCCAAGTAAGATTTAAAAAAAAGTTTCTTTGAGCTTGATTAATCAAAAATAAACTCTATGAAAAAAAAAAATTTTTTTTTCGATTGCTAACATTGTAATCTTTTTTAAAGTTTCAATGTTTTTGCAATAGGAAAACGAGATAGTTTATACTTCATCTTCTTAATCAAAATACATACAAATAGAAAATTAAATTGATTATACTTTAACGTCAAACTTTTTTCCACACTCTCAATTTAAAAGAAATAATAAAATAAACGTATTTAGAAATGAAACTTTGTTATCTTACTTGCAACAAAAATGCCTTAGAACACTGAGTGTTAAAAAATAAAAATATTTCTTGAACTTAAGCGATATTGCAGCAGAGCAAATAGTTAATGATTACAAAATCATAATATAAATGCTATGCATAAGAATTCAGATAACTATAAATTCTTTAATTCGTCAAAATGTACAGCAGTTGACAAGTAAAATTACGATTTTGGACAACGATAGATATCGCAGGGCTCAAAGTTGTCATTAAATTCCTTAAAGAAAGAAAGTGTCCTGTCCTTAATTATTAAACATTTCAATAAATATCCTGAAATATTTGTATTTTCTAAATTTTTGTTGAAGTTAAAAGCAGAAATAAATATAATTTATCTAGGTTTTCAATTACAGCTTCGAATATCGCGTCTGCCTTGTCAATTTTCTATTTTTTTTTTTTTTTTAAACTAGAACAAAATCATTTCATCAAATCTCTCCAAACAATTTCCTGAATCGTCGCTATTGACCGTCCTAATTCTCAATTCTCCCACGAACTTTCTTGTGCTCGGCCACAGATGGCTAACCCATAACCTAGCACAAGGAAGATCGTGACAAAGTAGCGCTTTAATAATGGCACGTGAAGACTTAAAAAATAAATTACTGTCTTGCCTCCATAATTTACTGACCCAGATTCGAATTCCAGCTATTCCTGACCGATTCGAAATTAACTCCAGACGCTCACCGATCACAATGCTGATCTAAAATGTATCCTCAATGGTAGACGGAGCACTAGCTAGAATCACCTTGCCGTTGAGACAACCACGAGATGATTTCGTGGTTTTCCTCTTCACATAACGAAAACGCGGTTTAGTTCCATCATTACAGTTTCACAAAGGCTTGAATGTCCCAAAGCTTGATCCAGGAGTTCCTTTGTCTTCTGGGGTGGGTTTAAAATTACAAGTTCTAGAGATAAACATTGATAGCCGTAAACCCAGAAATGCGTGGGTTGTAAAATATACTTAGAAACTTAGTCGAAATAGGTAACCAAACTACTACTCAAATTATACTGGATTTTGAAAAATTGTACTAACAAAGTTAAAATTATTCGATTTGGCTGACAGTTATTGAAAGAGTCGGTTCAACTGTGAAAAAATATTTTTAATTGTGAACATTTTATCGTGAAAGATCGTAGTGTAAGTGCATATGAATTCGCAACTCGCTTTATATATTACAATTCGCGTTTTATTCTGTATTTTCTTGAATTTTTATTTTCCTTTTATTGCTTGATATATTTTATTTTTCCTTTCGTTCTATTTTAATTTCAAATTTTTGGTGCTCCTCACACTATTGTATTGATATATTTTGCTCTGGCTATGTTTTATTAGAAAGCACTTTTTTGCAGATACATTAGTGTGAGCTGATGACAAGATTGTATCTTTTCCCTATTTCGTTTTCCGGTCTACTTTTTTCTTCATACTTTTTTAAAAATATTTCACTTCAATAATTAATATTTTTCTCTTTTAAAAAATCTTTATATATTTTCCATGTTTTCTCCATATTTTTAACTTTATATATACATATAAAATAAAGCAAACCATCTTCTAAGAAAAAAAATTACCTCCCCCCCCCATCAATTTCTTTCTAGCAACGTCTATGTGTATCGTAGATGTAGAAGTACCGTACATGTTAGTACTTTGAAAGAGACACATGTAAAGGTCTAATCAGTTAATATTTTTTTAGTACTTTGGAAGAGATTAAAGGTAAAAATCTTATCAGTTTATAGTTTTGTGTGAAATTATTTCATGTTCTTTATTTCTAACTCTCTTCGGCTAATCATTTGGATAAAGGTTGACTGATGTTTGTGTTTTCAAGTTGTAAAGAAATTTGTTTATTTAGGTGGAACTTCAAACAGAAGAACCTTATCTGCAACCTATATTTGGCGCAAAATATGCTGTTTACGTTGCTTAAATATTTAATGTTTATCAGCGTTAAAACTAAACATAATGTGCTGTCACACAAACATGTTTTTTTTTGTTGATAATTTGAAGTGCTGTTTTTTATAAATTTGAACTGCTTTGTCTATCTGGAAAATAACATTAAAAAATATGTATTTTAAGTGATAAAGCAAAAAGAAATGTCTCAATACTATAATTCAAATCTTAGTTTAAAAAAAACCTTTATTTGCTTTTAATTATAAAGTTTTTATAAATAAAATTTAATTAAGAATACTTATAATTAAAAATATTTGAGGGAAATATTTATTCCTCTGATATGAGTCGGGTGAGCAATGTTTTGCCCTTATGCACAGACACACATAAATATGTTATATTTATAACATAATAAGTTATAAATATAACATAAGCAACGTATAAGCAAATATATAAATATGTTATATTTATGTGTGACTCTATTTTATATATCTTATTTGTATCTCAGATAAGTTGGAGCGTTAATTAGAATTAATATAAAAACACAGAAACACTCAATTTTATTCTTTTTTAGATTTTAACTTTTATCAAAAGCTGAGGAGATAGAGGCTTTTCAATTTCATCAAATCTGAGATTTCCAAAAATAAATAAAATAAAACAAAATTAACTTTTGTTTTTATTAAAATACAGATTGTTACGATTTAATTAGTATTTCGATTAAAAAAGTTCTTGTACTCGAGGAAAATCGGTATTATAATCCATTAGACTCTATTTTAGGGAGAGCAGGATTAAAAACATCAGAAACCAGTTTGATTGCTGTTAGAAACTTGATATGAAGAATAACTGTTTATCTCACATCATGTTCTTAAATATAATAAAATAAAATAATTTTCGTTTTATTAAAATACAGATTTTTACGATTTAATTAATATTTCAATTAAAAAATTCTTTCATTGTACGCGAGGAAAATCGGTATTATGATCTATCAGATTCTATTTTGAGGAGAGCAGGTTTAAAAACATCAAAAACCAGTTTGATTGCAGTTAGAAACTTGATACGAAGAATAACTGTTTATATCACCTCATATTCTTAAATATAACAAAATTAACTTTCGTTTTCTTAAAATATAGATTTTTACGATTTAATTAATATTTCGATTAAAAAAGCGTTAAAAAAGTTATTTTATTGTGCTCGAGGAAAATCGTTATTATAATCTCTTAGACTCTATTTTAAGGAGAGCAAGGTTAAAATCATCAAAAACCAGTTTCATAGCTGTTGGAAACTTGATATTAAGAATAACTGTCTATCTCACCTTTTTCTTAATAGAATTGATAGATTTTGATATTTTAATCTTTTTTTTTCTCCCTTCAATGTTAATTTTCACCCCTTAATTTGTAAATTTTTCAGATATTTTAGACAAAGACTAAAATATTTATTAGCAGCAATGGATTATGAAATGCCTCCTAAATTTTTAAAAGTATCGAAAAAAGTGTGCTTAGTCAGAGTCTTAAATTAACATTTAAGCGAGCAACAAACACTATTGAGGAAAGAGGGATTAAAATATGAAAACCGGTTTGTTAATCTGATGAAATTTGATGGTGTTGAAGAGTAGGATATCGCCTTCACCTCTTTTGAATTTTTTCAGACAATCAAACATATTTCAATTTTTAAGCTTCAAACTCCTCAATATTTAGCCATGTTTTAATATCATTTTTCTCTCTGCCTCACCTCTTACGAGCACTTTTTTTCTTTATCTTATTCCAGACAACGATTCTAAATATAGTAATGCCGAAACGAAACATCATCTGAATATTTTACATTACTTTTTACAATCTATAAGTTACGAGTTTACTCTTGTCAAGGATTCAAATAAACATATTAGAGCCGCAATGGCTCAGGGGATAGAGCGTTCGCCTTCCAATGAGGTGAACCAGGGTTCGATCCCGGGGATTGCTGGTCGATATGAATTCCGCATCTGCTTGCACCGACCACAGTGCAAACGTGAAATATCCTCAAAGGTAGACGAATCATGGGTTAGAGTTCTCTTGCCGTCAGGCTAACCGTGGGAGGTTCTCGAGGTCTTCCTCTCCATGTAACGCAAATGCTGGTTAGTTCCATCGAAAAGTCCTCCACGAAAGCAAATTTCTCCCAATACTTGATCCGAGAGTTCCCTTGTCTTCTGGATTGGGTTCAAAATTACAAAGCTACGGAGTCCGTTGGTCAACGACGGTTATTAAATATATTATCGTCAGTCATTAAGAAACACTCAGTATATATAGTAGTTTTTTTTATTTTTTAGCGTTCGACAAATAAATGAATAACTTTCTCTATATAATGTATAGTTTTGTCTTAAGGATTTTAAAAGAAATGTATTAAGAGTGGTCATTAAGAAATGTCCTGCATGTATACTATAAAGTTAAAAGAAAAATCAGTTGAAAACACTTCTTATTTGTTCTCTTTATTTATTTTAGAATCCTGCAAATATTATTAAAAACAATCATAATCTACTAAGTTGATTTTTATTTATGTATTCAATAGAATTTAATTCTCCAGAAAAGGTACGCTCATTAATACAAGGTTATCGAATGTTGCCCATGTGCAGAGTTCATTTCATAAAAAAAACTTTCAATAAAAGTACACAAAATATTTTTAAATTTTTTTATTTTTACTTTTTATTTTGAAAAAGAAAAAGTACAGTGTTCCCTCATTGCAAACATCAATGTTATAATCACTCGAATATTTCAAAATTTGGTATGGAATGTTTGGATGATATTGACTTCAGTATTTGATAATTCTTTACTCAAAAGTTATGCGCATTTACAACTAAACGCTCATAAACAAAATGTACGCTTTCCTTACACAAAAAGGCACTTATATTACAAGTAACAAATGTAACGCCCATTCAAAAAAGGTTTGACATCTCTTATTACACATTTAACAACATTATTTTTTAAATAACATTGCACACTTAACATATTTGCACATTACTAGTTCATCTTAATTTACATCATTAAGCAAACAAATCCGTATCTTAATAAATTCAATCTATTTAACACACTGCCAACTAACACACAAACATTACTTTATACTTAAATGTACACATCCTATAAGCTGTATTATATAACATTTAATCATCACACAATAAATACTCTCACACAAAAACACAAGTTCTATGAAGTAAAATTTCTTAAAATATCCTTTTTTTTGTATAATATCACAATATTTGAACAGTGGGTGTGATTGTGGATATATATGGTTGAGAATGCAGCTTAGTGTAGTAATTTCCTTAAAAGTTAATGCAATATACACAGAAGAATTCCGAACAATATCTACAATATTTCGAACAAATGTTTAAGTATACATTTCAATGAACAAGCTTCACAGACTGGCCATATGGATTTTTTTTTCAGACACAAAACATGATAAACAAAAAGTAGCAAATTATACAATAGCTTTATATTTTGATAGTCTCAAAGGTTAACATCATTTATAATGAAGCATCATTAGGCTTCTACTGATGATTTATAGCGACATCTACAGATAGGTGACATGAGACACATACGAACCGTGCAGAATGTCATAAATTATCACCAAGTGACTTGGTCGACTGATAATTCATTAGCTAATCTAAAATCAGGTGACATGTGCAGTCAGCAGAAAATAATTCATAGTGACATCTACAGATAGGTGACATGAGACACATATGAACTGTGCAGAATGTCATCAATTATCACCAAGTGACTTGGTAGACTGATAATTCATCAACTAATCTAAAATCAGGTGACTTATGCAGTTGGCAGAAAATGTAGAGACAAATAGCAAGTTTGGTTACTTTTATTAGATTATATAGATTAACATTATTATATGTATAGATTAACGTTAGATGTTGTTAACGTTAACAAGACTAACATTAGCCAAGTCGTAACCAAAACCTCTTGAGAGCAACTAACTGACAGTTTAACTTGTGCATATCAATAATAATGTTCACACATTTTACAGCAAAAAGTAGCGAAAAACGGAAAGTTCGATCACTCAATGATGAAAGATGTCTCGATTGCGATAAACTGGCTAGTTTATGGTCAGCATGTTAGATCATTAACCCCTTGACGTACGAAGACGTCATTTGTTTCGTACGTCAAAACAATAATTGACGTGTCTCAGAAGTCTTCAACACAGAGAGGTAACTTGCTCCGGACAGCAAATAAATATTTGAAAGTGGTAGTTCATCAATTGTAATTCTTGGTTTAATAAATTCAATTTAGTAGATTTTTATCCACCACTATTTCGAAATAATTTGTAGGCTTATATAATTCACCACTTCATAGTAGTTATGCCATGCTATACCTTTTAAAAAGCAAGCAAAAATAGACAAATATTTGCAAAATTTAGTTTGTAGTCATTTACCGTTTCTTTAAAAATTATTTTGGCGTGTCCGGAGCAGTTGACATTCCGTTGCGAGTTGGTGTTCACAGTGCAATCAAAGATCATTTCTATATCCAGAAATTTACAATTCCGCACAGTTTAGAGTTCCAATGATATGTCAAGGAGTTAATTAGACATGCTAATTTAGAACATATATGTGTACAAACACATACCTGTCTATAATGTTAATAACCAATGTGGTAATCAACAAAAAAATTAAATTTCTGGGACAAATCCTCACGATTTCAGTTTCTACTAAAATGATTGCCAGTTCTGAGGTATACATCACGAAATGCCAGTATTATTTAACCATCACAACAACGATATTTTGAGGAAGTATTTCCAGAAAATTTATCATGAAATCAAATCTAATGATCACTAAATTTTCAGAACAAAGAGAGCCGTTTAAGACAAACAAGGCCATTTTACTGTGAAGCAAAAAAAAAATACTATTTTGCATTATGAATTATGTGTCTCATAGTAAAAAGAAATTTGTTTACCTTTGTGACAGCATTAAATAACAAAACCTAACAAAATGAAAATACTTTACATTTTTCACAAATCCATGCATGCTATTTACAGACCAGTTTTAAACATTGCAAATTAACTTAAAACAGCAGACAAAATATTGGTTCCAGCCACACTTAATGAAATAAAATATTAAATTATTTACAAAATTAGTTTACTTACACAACATTAAAATAATATTTAACAAACTTATAATACTCTAAAAATATAACTTTATGAAATGTAAGAGAGAAAAAAAATGAAACAAGTTTTTGATATACTAAATGCAATTAAAACACTTTATAATTAAATTATATAATGAAATATAAACACTAATGAGAAAACAAAGGTTTATACTACTCGCAAATTTATGAAACATTTGATGATGTTATTTACAATTTATTAATAGCACATGGAAAACATATATATATTCCTCGATACACACACTTAAACACTAAACTAATTCTAAAATTGAACTATTTTAAAAGCATATAAGAATTAAACTTCAAAGAAATTTCAATATAATTTAAAATATTCTAAACATGAAATTGTTTTTTAATGGGAACTAATGTTACTCATTCATAATTAAGATCCATACACAGCAAAAGTAAAATTAGAACTTAAAAAACTTAGTAAGTAAAGCTTCTAAGTGAAATTTTTGAAAAATCTTATTTCAGTTTTTTTAACTATAGAACGTTAATTTAATTTTTCCAAGTCAGCTAAAATTTACAAATACCAGTGGATAAAAAATACTAAGAGACAATCTTTAAATGCTGCTAGGAGTGGAAGAAGGTTCCAAGTACATTTGGCAACAAACCATTATCTCGTAATTATCAAAAACCTGTCTTGATGGCAAATTAAAAAGCTTAGAATGTTAACAGTTTAAATAAATGTCAGGGATTTCACAAATTGAAAGTTTGCAAACAAAATATAAAGACTACAAATAATCTATATTTCCTATTACACATAAACTTTAAACACTTTGTAGACTAGCAATTTTTCACAAACACTATAACACGCCAAAGGCTATTATTTTATAATTAAATACAGAAGTAAAACATTCTTAATATTGATTTCATGCTCAAACGTTGTTGGTGACAAGCTAACAAACAACGCTTGGGCATGAAAAATCACCAGTCCACCATGCGTTGAGATAATTTACACAAAATATCACTTAGAAACAATTCATTACATACTTCTGTAATGTTTTTAAATGAGAGCAAAATAGAAATTATGGCTATCTTTGGTTTTGAATCATCATTTACACAGCTGTTCAAACCTAACAAACCATTTTAAATATGCTTTAAATAAAAGTAAAATAACAATTTTAGAAACCTTAGGCTGATTGAAAACAATACATACTAATTCACTTTCTACTATTTGTGTATGGATCATAGTTATATTAGTCTTTACTATTCAAACAAAATAAATGAATTAAAAATTATCTAATGGCTAACACACAACTTTTCTGAAAAGTTTGTTTAAATTCTAAGACAATTATGCTCCAATAACTTAAAATGTTTGGAAAGCAATAAAATATTACAAATTGATGTTCATTACATTTCATTTATTGCTAAGGATGGATGCTAAGAAAATTCTTTGTGTAAGACTTTTCATAAATGTCAGTCTAGAATTTGGCAAATAAATGTATAACTTTATTATTTACATGAAGATGATAGTTTATTCATACTCTTTTATGGATAGTGTTAACACTTACGCTGTGTGTTTATTTACAAAAAATTTGAGACAAAAAAGCTAAAAAAAAGATTTATAATTAAAATCACAATTCAAAAAAAAAACATTTTTTTTTCAGCTAGGTAAATTTTATATGCGAATTACAATTATGTTATTTCATGTTAGTCACAGATTCCAACCAATCTTTTAATAATTTTTGGTACAAGAAAATGTGAATTGTGCTTTGCAATATATAATTACAATTATTTACAATCAAAGTAAGAACTGAATATGGCCAAAGTGAACTAAAATCTTAAATGGCACATTATTCATTAAATCAATACTTTTGTTCAAATCTTTGGCTCAAAAATAACTATTTTACAACATAAATCAAGCAAATTGTTACGCTTACTGTAGATTTTGCACAACAGATATTAAAACCTGAACTTAGATTGTACAATTTCATTCATCAGACCAATAACATCGGTAGAATCTGCATTAAAAAAAAAACATGTATCAGATTTTTTTATTATTAAAAATAGTGTCCAGGGTGCATAGTCAGATTTTTAAACAAAAAATAAGCACCTTTCAAGTACTTTTTAAGCACTCAAAAAATATTTTTAATTACTTTCCAAAAAAAATCATAATTAGGATCTGTACAGTAATGAAAATTATTTTTTCCTATCTTTTAAAGTTCTTAATTTATAAGCATAAAATCAATAAAATTTCGAAAAATTTTCAGAGACTTTACATAATCATGATAAAATAACTAGTTCCTGATAAATATTACAGAGAAAATTGTGACAATCATGCATTTTTTGTAATTAAGCACTTTTTACAAACCCCGAATTAAAAAAAGCACCTTTAAGAGCTTTTAAAAAATGCAAATCAAAAATAAGCACCTTTAAGCACTTTTTAAAAATGTGTTACATTTGATTTTGCAACGAAAAAAAAGGTTTTTCTTATTGAAATAAATATAAATTAAATTTTTAAAATGTCTTTAAATGAATTATATTTCTTCTTTTTTTTTAAACTCTTAAACTAAACAATATCTGGAAATTAAATCTGGTATTTAGAAATTTTTAAAATGCAGACTTAAATTCTTAAAATGCAAAATTACAATTTTGTAATAATAATTGATAAAAAAAAAACTCAAAATTTTGTAAATGAATATTGACAAACAGGTTTTAAAGTACAAGTGAAAAGGTTGTCATACCACAAACTAACACTAATTTATAGACAATATTTTACAACTTCCTTCACCTAAAATTGATAGGTTAAAAAACTACAAATTGTACATTTGTATTTTCCTTAAAAATGTGAAGTCATTAGTTATAAATAATGAAAGAAAAACGTGTTAAGTGGCGACTATGTGCAGACTTGCTAAATATATAATACCTATGTTCATTTTAGAATAGATTACATATAATATATGTATAAATACCCTATCACAAATTTACATACCAATCATATTTATATTTATACCAGCTTAACAGTCTAATTTTGATAATATTTAAAACTCCATCTACTTTTTCTCTAAAATGGAATTTGAATTAAATTTTTACTGTTCAAAACATGTTAGAATGGTTTTTTGATAATAACAAGGAGCAAAATAAAGATTTCAATAAATTTACAGATTTAAAGATCCAAGTTTATGGTAGACTTTTACAAAAAAAAAAGGGACGTACTATATCTACAAACGGTAAATAATTATTAGATAATGTTAATAAATTAAATTATATTTAAACTATCATTAGAATATAAACACACAGAGAAATACAATTTAAATAACACATTAAAATAAATGAGCAAAACAAGAAAAAAAAATCAGACATAGATCTTTAAAATAGCCACACACAGTCTTAAATGTTTAATTAAACTAGTTTAAAATGAAAGTTGATAACATATTTGTACAGGGTGTTCCGTACTGATTGCCATTAACATACAGTTTCACAATCAGTGTCAAAAATGTAGCAAAAAATAGTTAAGTAATGAAATACTATTAAAATCTAACGAATTGCTAATGTGGAAGGTGGAATGAACTATAAAGTTAGTTTGATGTTTTCCACCTGGCCTAGTCTCATTAATGATTTTCAGTAGCTCGTGATAGTTTGTCCACACATTTCTAACATGGATTATAAAAATATATATTAATGGCAGACTGCAGATGCAGAGGACTATAGATAAAAGATACAAGCACATAGCAATTAAAAGACACTAAACTTAAAAATCACAGCTATAAAGAAAAAAATGCACGCACAAGAAGTTTTAAAAATCTATATACACTACACATATACAATAAATTATAGGAGTTGAATCACTTATATATGATCGAAACTAAACTAAGCGAATTCAACTCAAAAGTAAAATAATTTTTACACTTACACACAGTAAAGCAAGAAATGGGTGTTAAGCTATTAATAAATACATCAAAAAGTATGCTTGCTGCCTTTTTCTGCAAAAGGCTTAGCCAAACTCTTCTTTTTTTGATTGTGGTGTTTCCTTGACTGGTAGCGGTGGACTCTATTTTGCCGATTGATATACGAAGGACAAAGTTTGTACTGCTCACCCTCCCACTTAGTATAATGAGTGGGCTTAGTGTTTTCTGTTTGAACAATTAAACCTAAAAATAACAAAAACATCATCAGATCAACTAAAAATGATTAGTTAAAAATGATAGGCAAGGGAAATATTACAAATGTTTACTTTTTAAATTAAAAAATTTGTGAACATAGCAAGATACAGGGTATCTGCTACATTTTAGATTTTCAAATTCATGACTTTTCATGACTAATTCCAAGAACTTTTCAGGACTTTACGAAGTTACTATTTTCTCCGACAGAAACACAATAGTAAATTTAAAAAAGCATCATAATAACATTAATTGAAATTATAGGTGTAACCAAAACTGTTATACTCTGCATCTTCATATTTACAGATTTTTAATTTAAAAAACAGCGTAAATAAAGATTTGAAGCAATAAAATAACTGAAAAAATACAAAAAAAACTTTTTTTCTTTTATTCCGCAGAATTACATTCTAAAGATACTTTTCTTGTTCGAGGGAAAGAAAATAAATACTTCTGATTTTTCTGTTCTCATTTCGGAATAAAACAAATTCGCCAATCACTGGCTTGCTTCTGCTAGAATTTTAAATTGATAAAATAAAAAAATAAATAATAAAAATTCTGAAATCACAGAAGTTTAAAAGATAATTTGCTCTAGAAATGACGTTTTTTTCTCTCCATTTTTTGAAAGAACACAATTTTTAAAGAATATGATAAAAACATTTTATATTTGTTACAAATTCAGATATTCGGAACACCAAGAAATTGGGGGAGGAGTAAATTCCAGTTTAATAATTAGATTTTTCGGCGATCTAAATTCACCACTTTCCATAACTTTTCTTTAAAAAATAGTTAAAATCATGACATTTCATGACAAATTCTGTTCAATACCGAAATTCATGACTTTCCATGAGTTTTCATGACTTTTCAGGTGCGCGGATACCCTGAAGATAAAATCTAAATATTTTTGAATAAAGTTATAAAAAAATAAATAAAATAAATTTTTTTAGATTCTATGACCAAATCTTGAAAAAAAAATAGGGGGCTTTGCTAATAACCTGAACAAAAAAAAAAAGAAAAAAGGAATGGTTCTTTTTTTTTTATATATACAAAATTATGAGAGACAGTGATTTAGCCAGACTTAGGAAAGTACAGGTATCAGACACTGGTAAACTTCTGGGTCCATTTTTACATAAAGTGGGTCTCAATTTAAAATTATTAATTCCTTTTCTCAAAGATTTATATTTTCATATTATGGATAAGAAAAAGGCAAAACTAGCACATGTTAAGTTTGCTGTTGTAGGATAAATTAAACCAAGACTAGAAAAAAATAAAAAGGCAATTAGCGATTGATTTAGCAGTAATTTGAAGGAAAAATAATTAAAACCAAAATTTTTATATCAGTTGACACTTTCTGAAGCTAATATGAGATGCAACGAACTTTTTCAAATGCACGTATGTGCATTATATGTATATTTTCATATAAATATAATGCTGATTTGATCAGTTAAAATAATATTTCGGTAAGGAAGGATAAAAACCACTATCATTGAGAATAGAATATGATATATAGGAAAATATAAAAATGAGTAAATAACATTCTGTTGTTTTAAGATTATTTCAGATTAACAATCAATGCTATTTAGAAAAAAATTATATTTTCATAAACAATATAAAAGAACTATGAAAGCTTTTATTGCTAACAAGCACAAATCACTAAAATATATATTTAAAAAAAAACCTCTGTGACATTTTGCAGATAAAATTTTCCATGTCACTCATCTATTAAGATGCACATTTATAACTTTCTATTTATTAATCGACAAAAGAAACATATTTAAAGCACGAAAAAGAGTCTCAGTCTGCATTGGCACCAGATGCCTTTGACTGCATTGCTGAGTTTTAAACATTAGCATTTTAACCCCAAATTGGAGGAATTATTCATTGAAAGTGAATAATTCCTCCAATTTGAATAATTCCTCAAATTAAATTTTGATATAATTACCCTTATATAGATAGTTCAGGTAAAGAATGTTCTTATTACTTGCTTCTTCGATATACAATAAGATAGAATTGTATGAATACTTTTCACTCCAAAGGAATTTTTTTTCACTATTTCAACAAATTTAAAAACTTTTTTTTAATATTTAATTTACAAGATAACAAGTATGCCAAATTTATAACAAATGTTTTGACACTAATAATTAGTTTCTTTTAATATATATATTTTTATGCAATGTAAATGAATTATGACTAATGTTAATGAAAAATTGTTTTAAATGACCTAGAACTCCTATTAATATTGTCTCAATAACAGTTACTTGCAAAGAATTGTATATAATGCCTAAAACTTAAAATGAACTTATTATAACCTCACAATCCTAATTATTCTACATGAAATTTTAAAATATAAGAAAAAGATTGAAAAAAAAAGTAAACTCTTTTTTCTATCAACAGGGATAAAAAAAAAAATTTAAAAAAACAGAATTTCTAATACAAACTTCAACAACTACATAAACATATTAAAATAAGATAGTGAGAATGAAAAATTCATTCCTACAAAACTACAAAAAATTACTTGATAATAAATAAAGAAGAATATAAATATAAGTATACTTTTGAGATCAATCTTGCGAGGTTTTTGTACATCATTCGAAGTAGGAGAGTTAGCAGAAACTTTTTCAACCTCCCAACCAGGAAGCTCAGTTGTGCGTTCAAAAGGTTTGTTGCCAGGATTTGAGTTGCCGACACCACTTGCCTTTAAATTCTCTTGGGAGCTCTTTTCGGTCTTTTTGTCTTTCAGGTAACCAGGAAATCGACCGTAGACGCTCATGCTGGGGTGTTCGATCAACAAGTTCTCCAACGGTGAAACCTCCAGCTGGTTGGGACAATTCACCAAGAAACATGGTGGGGGAGCAACAAACCAACCTTCTTCGATTTTTGTTGGGCTAAGTTGAGGAGAGCTTTGGGGAGTGTTTGTGTTACTTATGTCCAAAAGAGGCAAAGGACTTAGGTGAGATTCAGGTTTCAAATTTTTTACAGGAACAGAGGCATCTTCTCGTATTTCATTTCCTTAAGAAAATGCAAAGAAATTTTTTTTTAAAAAATTGTTTCTTTAAAACATCATTTAGAAATGAGAAATAAAAATTTGTTTTCAGAAAACAGACAACTGGAGGTACTACATGATTTCCCCGGCAACCGCTGTTATAACAACGCCAAGCTAGAATTATTCACACTTAAGTCGTGGGTTCCATATCTCTGAGATTGCTTTTAATATTAAATCAAAAGGCTTGTTCAAGGTGCGTAGCCAGATATTTAAAAAAAAAAAAAAAAAGCACCTTTTAAGCATTTAAAAAATATTTTTAATTACTTTCCAAAAAAAAATCATAATTAGGATCTGTACAGTAATAAAAATTATTTTTTCCTATCATTTAAAGTTCTTAATTTATAAACATAAAAATCAATAAAATTTAGAAATATTTTCAGAGACTTTACATAATCATGATAAAATAACTAGTTCCTGATAAATATTACAGAGAAAATTGTGACAATCACGCATTTTTTGTAATTTAGAACAACAATGATTGGACAAAGAAAAGCTCTCTTTTTAAAAGATAGAAAATTAAGCACTTTTTACAAACCTTGAATAAAAAAAAGCACCTTTAAGGGCATTTAAAAAACATAACTCAAAAATAAGCACTTTAAGTACTTTTTGAAAACACTACATCTATTGTCTTTCCAATAGGATTTTCGCTACATGAACTCTGCAAGATAATATTGTAGAAGATAATGAGCCGTTCCTCTTTGCCTTTAGTTCATAACATAAAAAGTGCTTTTTTTTTTCTTGACAACTTTTCACATTGAACCTCCACAAACCTACAATTATATAGAGTCTCGTTTCACATCCATTTAGGTGTACTTGATAGTATAGTTTTACCATGGAAAAACAAAACAGCATCTTTCTCACTCCTCGATAAATTAAAAATGGTCAAAAAAAATTTTTTCAATGTTATAAATGGAAAAAAAAAAAGTTACTTCATCACATGTTTTAAATGCAAAGCCTTAATGGAACTGAAAGTGAAAGTGTGTATGGCTACTCTTAGTTTAGCTACCTTTGGCTGTTTTTTCTTACATGATTTGGCAGGTTATCGCGATTACAATGGAAATTAATTAGTACCCAACTTCAACTATAAATAAAAATAAAGAAAGAATGAAATAATGATAATAAATAAATAGTCGAAGCTAAAAATCTATTTTGAAAAAACAACTTGATCTAATAATAATGGAAATAAATTGATAAGAATTAATTGATAATTGAATTAGAAATAAATTGATAATTGATAGATAACAAGCAATTAAGTGAACAGAAAAAGCATTTTTAAACATGACAGTGTAAAATTAAAGAAAAAAAAGGGAAAGATAGGCTTTGTAACTTTGGTAACAATTATTTTATTAATAAAAAGAACAAAAATCAATAATTTTTCAATAACTTAAAAACAATCAGTGAGTGGCAATATTTTCTAAGTGCCAAAATATCACTAATATAGCAAAAAATTAAAAATGGTAATAAATTTAAAAAAAAGAAATAATGGATAAAAAATCTTTTTGTAATCTACTTTGAAAATTAAAAACCATTAAAAAAACTTATTCAATAATTTTTAGCTAATTAAATTAAAGCTTTATACACCTAATACTTATAATTAAATTTGCAATAAATGAAAAAAAAAAAAATAAACAGCAGAAGCTACTACATAAAGACAATTTGTTATCTGTAATAACAGGTAATGCCATTTCATTTAAATAATTTGGTTATTTACTATTTATTATTAGTCATATACAAGCATTAGAAGAACATTAAAAGACTATAAAATATCAAATTTAAACCTTTTCCATATCATGATCAGTGGCAGAATAATAGCCATGTCTTAGCAACTTCCGAACAGCGGCCTGTGAGAAACTAAAAAAAAAGAAAATCACAGAAAGGGACAAATTTGAAAGGTCGTAGTTACCGATGGGCAAACATCTACAAGTTTTTTTGCTTCTTTTTTTAAAAAAAAAAATTGGCACCTTTGAGATTGTAGTTGGCGTGACAGATCATGATATGGAAATATACCCCTTAAAACCTAAGATATAGTATTTTGTTTTTTTCTTATTTGCTAAAGGAATAATAAAGGGATATCACTAACAAGTTTATGAAATTGAACTATATTCTGATGCTTACCATCAATATCCACTAATACCCAGCCTTCTATGTCATCAGGTTCACTTATTTTTACAGCATCAGTTGCCTCAGCATTTTCTTGGACAAAAAATGATTTGAAACTGCCCCACATGTTTACGTAAATCTAAAATATATTTTATTACATATTTTATTATTATACATATTACTATATATAATTACATCTTATATACATTATTGAATACTATACCTTATAAAAATTATACATACATATAAAGTACACAAAATCAATCCTATACTAAATAATAACTGATCTGTAAAAATTAGCTAGGTACAGAAGACATAGAATACAAAGGCATCAACTAATACAAAGGCTACCTTATTAGCATCTTAATTTATTAGTGTCATTAATGTAGGTGTAAAATTTATCACAAAAAGTAATGTAACAATTAAAAAGGAAACATATTTAGGCATCTGACAAAATATTTAAGGAGTGAATGTTTCTAGCTCTAATTATAAAAAACTAATAAAATGCAAAACTAATGATGTCAACAAAATATGTGGAGCATCCTCAACATTTTTTTTAACTTTATTTCTAAAAACACATAAAAACTAAATAACATAAAAGTAATAAAATTAAATTTAAAAAAAAGTTGAATTTCCATGCGCTTGGGTAATCGAAAATAAACTATGAATGAAAAATAAATTTTTCCGATTGGTTTCAATGTTTGCGCAATAGGAAAACGAGATAGTTAATACTTCATCTCCTTATACAAAATACATACAAATAGAAAATTCAATTAAAAAATATAGTCTAGCATCAAACTATTTTCAACAATATCAATTATTAAAAATAAATAAATAAAAACATATATTGAAATGAAACTTTATCTTACTTGCAACAAAAATACCTTAGAACACTGAGTGTAAAATAATATTAATATTTCTTGAACTTAAGAGAGATTGCAGCAGAACAAATAGTAAATGATTACATAATCATAATATTAATGCTAAGCAAAAGAATTCAGGAACTAAATTAACTATAAATTCTTTAAAACGTCAAAATGTACAGCTGTTGACAAGTATTAACACGAACATAATGACAGGAGAATGAAGGAATACTTTCGAATTTTTAAATGAAAGCAAAACAATTGCAAAAGAGGCTTGAATTACTAACCAAATCACAATAAAAATTAAAACGCAAATAACGTAATTGATTAACAACACTTGTTTACAATTTCATAGAAACTTACTTCTTTATAGAGCTCCTTTTGTGCGTCAGATTTTTTGACAAGTGACGTCAGGCTCAGGTATGTGTTTATTTGTTGATAATCGTTTTAAAAGATTATCGATTAAAGATAATCGATGATAAATGTTTGTGTACGGGGGCATTTCCATATTGCGGTGGAATGCTGATCCGGTTCGCGCATGCGTGTGTAATAGATGCAATGTGTATGTGCATCAAGTTATTTGTTTTACAAACAATAAATAACTTATAAATTAATTGGAAAAAAAGGAAATTGTGCTTTTGTTTTTATAATTGTTGATCATTTTATTAATCTCTATTTTAAATTATTTGTGTGTCACCAGCAACAAGTGTTACTAGCGATTCTTTTCAAATCTGTTAACTGCGAATTCTGCTGGTCATCATGTATTTTACGTAAAATATCATTTCCTCTGAGTTCAAGCTACAAACCAGTTGAATGTGATGGTCACCTTTTTTCTAGAAAATTGAATACAAAAAATATTATCCAATGAAATCATCTTTTTGCATGGGGTGAGCATGATCACGTGTTGCAACACATGTTCAGTTTTGCGTTTCCCCGCCTCCTCACGCCGATGGCATGACATGGTGGAGTGTCATTTTTTGAACAGAAATGAAATTTACAGATTTACATAATATTGTTTGAAATTAGTTATGCACAACGTATGGGGCTTTAATTATTTGGATCTAGCACAAAGAAACATTTATGAAGTGTAAAACTTATTGTACATTTAATTGAGTAAGTAAATTATGCGATTTCATATCTCTCGTTTTAAAGATTGATTGCTATTATTAAATATTATTTTCTCTCTCGGATCCTAAGAGTTTATATAAATTAATTTTCTCCTGGTTTTTGTTCTTTTTTAAAAAATTTTTTTATTTTATTGATGCTGCATAAATATTTAATTAATGCGGTATCATTTTTTACAATAGTTAAATACAAAACCGACGCGAATTTATCTGTTAAAATGTAACTTGTTGTGTGTATCCTAAATAGTTTTTCTTAAAATTAAATCTGATGTTTTATTTCAATAATTGTGATGCCCGCCGGGACACAATTTTTAGGTTACTATAAATAACGTTTGATACGACACATTAAGGAATATATAACTTTACCACATTTTCCTCCTTTATTTATAGCATAGAAACAGTTCTATGTCTCTTGATTATAAACATTTGTGGGTTTTTTTTTTACGATTATAATAAAGTAATATGGTTTAGTTCTTCAGAAGTCGCAAAATCTGGCTTCGTCTGTGTGTGATTAGGTTACATACTTAAAATGATACATGTTATAGATTTTCGAAGTGATCCAGCAACAATTAATTTTAATCATTTATAAAATTTATTTCACTTCAATATATCAATGATACCTTAAATTTATTACAACTGTGTTGGTATATGCAGCAACTATGCATTCACAAAAATAATTTTTAGATTTATCTCAACAAAGCTACTTAATGTTTTGAATATTTATAAACGATTAGGTCCTTTAGAAAATTAATTTACACACATCTGTTCATGAGAGATTTTCTATGACATTTTAAACCTGACTTAAAACACTTTATTTTTCAGAAAATTATTTATTTTTATCAAAGATATTTTTATATAGTATGAACTTATAATGCTATAGTATTACGATGTCTAAAATGTGTAAAAACAGTCAACTATCTCAAGAAATACCCAATAGATCAAAATACATCATTGGAATATTGGGATGATTATCGTTATCTTCCTTCCTCGGCGACTCTTCGCCAACTTGCCGTAGTTATGATAATATCCCCGGAATATTTTCAAAATATGCTCACTATTACCTTTAATATGCAAACTTTATCTTCAACCTCATCCTATGGGTGTGTTGTAACTTAAAAGGATCGCGGGGATATTTCCGTATCATGATCTGTTGCGCCGACTACAATCGCCAAGATGCCAAATAGATTTTAAAACTTGCAAATGTTTTTAAAAACAAGTAGATGTTTGCCCGGGGGTGACTACGAGTTATACCTTTCGAATTGGTTCATTTCTGTGATGTTTTTATTAGTTTCTCGCCGGCCACTGCCCGGAAGTTTCCAAGACTTGGCGGTTATTCTGCCACAGATCACGATACAGAAAACCCAGTAGATTTTTTCAGAATGGGCCTAAAAAACCCATCTTTCTATCCAGTATGTGGGCTTTTTTTTACAATTTCTTATTTCCAATAAATTTTCTTTTCAATTATCAAATAAAATTGTTATTGAAAATTGTCAACTTATTGTTTTATAAATTAAACTTTGTAACTTTTTATATAAAACTACATGGATCAAATCATATTTCCGTAAACTGAATTCTTTAAACAAAATTGTCGAGAACAAATGAGCTAAACACATGAAAAAATAAAGTACATGATTAATAAAACATATTGTTAAATTATAACATATTACTTATCTGTAAAACAAAGTATGTGTAATATGCATAGACATACTACTTATGGCATAATTTATTTGAATTGTGAACCTTTCGTGTTTGGTAAAAACGCATACTACAAGGGTTGGACAAAATGATGGACACTTCTAAAAAAATTTTTGGATTCTCTGAAAAAAATGCTTCCAGACTCATTTTATAAATTAAAAATAGTTTAGTATATGTGATTTCTTATATTTATTGATGAAGTTAAAAGCTTTTTAGAGATTTGAGGTTTTTATGTTCTTTTTTTTTTAAATGGGTTTTTTTCTTCTGATTATTGGGTATTATTCCTTCTTTTTTTTAATTATTTTGTTTTGAAAATTGTTTCCTTATATGAGAATTGAAAATTATTTTATTGAGTTTAAAAATGTGTTATTTTATTTGCATTAAGTTTTTAGGATTATCAAAATGTGTTTCAATGTGTTTAAATGATCAGGAATTACCCCAGGTCACCCTACTGCTTGGAATGTTTAGAAGACAAATATGTAATTTTTCCCCCTTTCATTTCAGATGCAAAATGTATATTAAAGATTAAAGTTGATAATTATTTGTACATTGTAATGCATCAAATATTCATACATTGAAAATACAAATGAACATATCATGTTCACTAAAATGACGAGTGATTTTTACGAATGTTTACAATGTTTCTAGAAATTCCATTCATTAACTTTATTGTAAATTTTGTGTTTATTTATAATTTTAAACTAATCTCATAACTGCTTATGCTTTATATTTTTTAATGAATCATTTCAATAGCTTCATTATGTAATTTATTATATACTATTTAGAAGAGCAAAAAAAAAAATGACTGGAATAGTTATTCTTATGACAATTTCTCTATTATTCGTTTGTTAATCCCTTTGGTTATAATCAAACAATATTTTTTCTTTGTGTAATATTTCTAATGGTTATATTTAGTGTATAATGTTTTAATGGACTTGAAAAAATCATTTTAATTATGTTTTTACTTTTCATGAAAAAACCTAATTAAACTTATTTATCCCCAGGCAATATTCAGGTTTTTTTTATTAAAAAAAAAAAAAAAACATGGGCTGTGGTTTTTCTTAAAATACTGTTTTTTCGAGAACCCTGCCTTGAACATATACTTCAGGGTCAAATTATTTCAGAATTAATTATTTCCTCAAGTAAAATAAATTCATTATAGAATAATTTCTTCAGTTTAATTTTCTAAATATAAATGTTTCTGCAGTAAGTATTTCTATTTATTTCTGAAAAGGGAAGATTTCTGTAGCTTGATATGTGGCAAAATAATAAAGTCTTGGCAACTTCAAGGCAGGAACCCTCCAGAAACTTAGAACATCCCATCAAGGAACAGACTCGAAGAAAACTCTCAAACTCTCGTAACCGCCTCCAGGAAAACTCCTACATGTTTTTTTTTAATTATAGTTTTAAACCTATTTGGTGTCTTGTTGATAGTAGTTTTCAAAACAGATCACAATATGGAAATATCCCCCACTAGAGGAAATTTAAAATCAGTTTTTCTTTTCTTTTTTCAAGGGAAGTGCTTTAACTCTTCAATTTATAATGTGTTATATTCTGAAACTGTGATGTATTCATAAAGGATAGGGTTTTTTTTTAATAATGTTTTTTCACATTTTGTTTCCTTTAGCAGTAAAGAAACATTCTTTTAACGCTTTTTGAAAGTATAATAAAAAAGATCAATTATCATGCCAAAATATTATTAAAAAAAACTGTTAAAATGATCAGAGGTACTTCAATCTTTAAAGCAATATTATCACAATGTTATTTATACTTTTAAGGCATCTCTAATAGGAGAGAATACGTTTTTTGCCAAGGTAGTAAAAACCTCATATGGTAAATACCATACCTGCCCTATGTAGAATGTATATGGAAAAAGAAAACTGAATTTTTCAGTCCTATAAGCAATTTATTTTTTAAAAAAATATTTTCTTATCTTTGAAAATTTTCTTATTTTTTTAATATATTTTTTTTAATTAATTGTTCAGCAGTGTGATGGTTTGTTTAAGAACTAATTATGGCATTTTTTCACTTTCTGCTAAGGTATCTGAACTAACAGGAAGTATGCCATTAGATACATCCGATGTTGTAGATTTTTTGTGTACGCTTTCTGAAGAAGAACGGATGAAATGCACGGTTCGACAGTCTCTGAAAGGTGGCCTTGTTGTTGGTTGCGCTGCAGCCATTGGTAGTTATATTTTAGGTCCTATTGGACTTGCTATAGGTATGTATAATGATTAAGGATTTTAATACCTTATGCTTTTTATTTGAGAAAATAAACGAGAGAATTAAAAAAATTTCGTGACTGCCTACGCTTGAGTGAAAAGATATGTTAAACGTCTAGAAAAAAAATATCTCAGCTTTGAATGAGAGCATACTTTTGTTTGAGTTGTTCTTTGGCTTAATATTTTGATTTTTTATTAGAAATAATTTCTAGTTAGCATGCTTTGTAATATTAAATTTTCTCTATTTGCCATTTTTCTAACCGAAATTATATCGGAAACAATTTCCTCCTTGAGCTATATATTGTTAATATCAGAAAATAATATTAATTTAAAAGTAAATAACTAAGTTATGAGCATGTAGTGTGCATATTGTTTCTACATTGTATATTTAGAATTCTGGTAAAAAGTTAATAATTGTTATTTTCATTATAGTTGGTGTTATGAATAAATATTTTATAATGAAATCCAGAATTAATAGTATATGATAATAATAGTGATGATGATTAATCTCAGTGCCGAAGGCAGATTTGATCTGAATAAATCTGATCTTGAAGTTTTAAATATATTAGCTAAAATCATCCCACAATTATTGATTATATTATACATAGGGCTTCATTCAACACACAAATGAAAAGGTTAATTTTATTATTATTATCTTATGTTACATCTGATGTGTCCATTTTAATAACTTCCCTATTTACAGGATTTCTGAATATGTATTTGTATTAAGTGTTACATGTGATAAAAATCCATTTAATATATTTTAACGTTTAAATAACTTATATATTTGCCTGAGTTTTATCCCCTATTTTCACAATATTAACCTAACAGTTTTTAGAAAAATTTTTGTTCAGAAGTTTTCTCAAATTGCCGATTTTCTTTTCAAAACATGTAAAATCATTAGAGAGAAAAAAGTATACGCAAGTCTTAAGGAAAAAAATAGATCGTGGCTAAAAATCTGAATTCTAGGAAATTTTTGAAGTAGTATACTTCACTGTTATAAAACAGATTCCTTCAATAATAATAATAAAAAAAGGAAAGATAAATTAGTTATAGTATATATTTGTTGTTGTTGTTTTCTTTTTTTTAATCTTTTCTGAGTCTATTAATATCTTAGTAAGGCTGCCAACTACTACCTTTCATGCAAAATATTTAATATAGTAGTAAACAGTTCATATAATATAATATTTCACATAAAATGAGTTCATATAATATAATTCCATATAATGACTTTCAGATTTTTAGGTAGTTTTTGTGAACATTTAAAGTTTTACCATGAGAGAGCTTGAACAATGTGTTGTTTCCTATGAATTTTTGAATCATTAAACTGTACAATTTATGAATATTATAAATTAAACAAGATTTTCTGCATATGAATCTTATAAAGATACATTCATGGTTTGATAAAAGAAAATTACTTGAGCTTGTCTATTTAAAAAATGTTTACTGATGCAGAAGTTTCTCTTTAAATTTTACATCAAAAGAATCTTGTACTGGTTTTAGTGTTTTTTTAAATTTTTTTTTTTTTTGTAAATGTTTTAAATATTATTTCAGGAGGAGCCGTGGGAGGAGTGTTTGCAGCAGCGACCATGCGCTACTCGTTTTTTCCAGCTTCACAAGTTATTGCCACAATGTCACAAGTCCATAGAGATCGCTTGGCTTCTAAGATTGAACGCATAATGCAAAACTTTAATGTCTCTGATATTGCTCTTTTAGCCACTATGATTAGTGGTGACTGTCTGTTGAGAAATCGAGTTGTTACTGAACTGGTTGATTACCTGAGACAGGAAATGTCTTTAGCATTAGTTGAATAAGAGCTTTGACTGAATCACTATATTTCTCATGCTCACGTGGAAAAATGATTGTGTACATAAACTCTATTGTAAAATTTACTTCCAAAGTTTTGTTATTAATGTCATTAAATTTTATCAAATATGACGTTATACTTTCAAGGAAATATGTTTTTTTAGGACCATTTAAATTACTAAGTTCTGGCTAATTTATTAAGCCAGTATATTTAGGGTTCTTTTCCTTCGTTTGTTCAAGACAATGAGCTTTTATATTAAGTTAATATAGTGATAGAATAGGTTATGTATTTATAAATAAACTGTTCTGCTGTTCTTGTTCTTATATTTGATTTAAGTAAAATAATCAGGGGTTACTCCAGATTTCTTCTGAAATTGAGAAAAATCTCATGTTTTTATGAAAATAAAGAACTGTTTTTGAGTTTCATAAATAATCATAAAAACCAACAGTCTCTTCTGACTTTGTAAATTTGTGAAATATCTACTGATAGATTCTTCTAAATCTAAAATTGCTGTCGAATAGGTTTCTTTCTGCCTGCCTGGGTCCTTTTTTGTAAATGTCTAAAAATAAGGTACTTTTTGTGGGGAGGTACGTTTTTCAAGAAAATATAATTTTGAAATTATATAAGCATTTATTAAATTTTTCAAAGCAAATTTTGAATGGTTTGTTTTTAAAATAAAATCAATAGTTAAGGACCTATTTTTATGATGTAATTTGTGAAGGATCTGTTTTTGCAGTAGAATATTATGTGAAGGGTTAGTTTATGGACCCAAATTTCTTCTAAAATAATAGCATTTCTTTATGATCTTATTTCGCTTTGTCGAAGTGCATTTCGTACAGGGATAATGCATTATGTGAAATTGTTTTTTTTTTTTATTACTATTAAAATGCTTATGCAAAAATTTTTTTTACACTCTACTTTCCTCTCAGTGGACTCCTTAGCATTTAAAAAAAGGCAAGCATTAAAACAATAAATGTCTGGTTATCATTACTCTTTATTCTCTTATTTTTATATCTAAGTTTCAGTAAATGATTATATTTGCATTTGATAATGTGAAAATAAGTCCAAATGTTTAAAATATTGAATATTGATGTAAAAAATTAGCTGCTCTGTACACTTCAAAACCAATTCTATAAAAAAATTTCTAAATTTTGCCCTGATTTTTTAGTTTGTTTCAAAATTACAATGAAAACTTTTTTTTTCTATGTTAAGTTTTTAATGTTTGCTACTTTTTCTGTAACCTCTTGATTGTTATTGGCAGTGTTTGCTTAAAAATTCTTGTTAAAATGTATTTTATGCTATAATTTTCAAATTGTTTATTGTTGGTGAAATTTTTACATTTTTTGGGCTTTAAAAAATGTGATAGATATATAATTCTACATATGTTAGTATATATTTTTTAATTTAGGAATTTTGCATAAAATTATAAAGCTTAGCTGCAAAAAAAAAATTTGCTTTGTTTTGACATTGTTACTTTTTTTTTAAATGCCAAAAATTTACGGGCTTTATTATATTTCACTGTTTGCTGATTAAAATAAGCAGCTAAAATTATTTTTTGCAATTAGATCTTAGATGGCTGTGCTATATGACGAGTTCGAGTTGTTTTCAGACTTTTGAAAAATAATTTTATTAATAGTAATAATTTTGCTTGTTTCTAATGGGAAACATTTTAAACATTGACTTTTTCAAAAAAATATTTTAGTTGACAAATTTTCAATGTTATACAAAAAATTATCCATAAAAGTTAAATATCTGCATCATTACACATTTTTTTTTGCTTAGTTTTAAATTTGAATGATGCCTTCTGATTTATGCATGAATTTAAAAAGAAAAAATTTAAAATCAGTTTTGGTTTTTTTTCAAAGGAAGAACTCAACTCTTCAATTTATTATCTGTTATATTCTTTAATTTATACTGAAACTGAGATGTTTTCAAGAGAGGGAGGTGTTTTTTTTATTAATAATGTTTATTCACATTTTGTTTCTTATAACAGTAAAGAAACATTCTTTTAACACTTTTTGAAAGTACAAGCCCTTTAAACATACTGACATTTGACACATAAATATTTTTTCTAATAAAAATGACTTTTATACTTAATAAGTTTGTTTTTTTAATTGAATAAAAGTAAATAATGATGAGCATTAAATTCCAGGTTATGGAAATCTCTAAGTAAGAAAAAATAAATTTCATGTTTAAAGATGAAAATGTTTTAAATGCACTTATAACCCTATAAAAAGAAAATTATGATTATGTAATCTGTATTTCAGTGCTGATGATAAAATTTGGTTACAGTTTCAAAATACCAGTCTTCAATTTTTTATTCTTTTACTCTTTCTATTGTATTCCACATTATTTTATTACGAAGACAACCTTCCTCTTTTTATACTCTTATTGTAGTATATTGTCTGAATATCATAAAAATTTCTTTCACTTTTATTTGTATGTTTAATGTTCTACTATTATCAGTATTTTTATATGTATATATTTGTCTTAAATCATGCAAGAAATGTGATTAGAACTGTATTGAAATTTGCTTTAAAAGTGAAGAATGTTTCTTATTAAAATTGTTGAGTGAAAAGATTGAGCGAAAGTATTAGAGAATTGTTATGTGAAGGAGAAATTGTAAAATTGAGATAATTTAAAGAACATTAGTTTGATATTTTATGTGTATTTATATATTTCTTTTTTTTTTTTCCAAAAATATTTCATTTTTGTAGGTTTTATAATTTTGTTTTATATAGGTTCTTAAACTGTAAATTTTTTACTTATTATTATTTGTTTTAATTTTATTTTGGCCTTTAAATTTTTTAAATAAATAATGCAAAAAGTCTTCAAAATTAAATTACTATATTTTTATTTATATAATATATATNACTTATCATCAAAGAAAGAAAAATCGTAAAATCTTATGAGGAGAAAAAAAAATTTTTTAAAAAATGAGAAAATTTATCGAATTTCGTTCCGGTTTTTGGGTTTTCAGGTTTTCTGATTTCCGGATAACGGGTTCTGTACTGTATATGTATATGTATATATATATATATATATAATTCATTTATTTTTGTCATCTCAGTTTTTTCTTAGTTTTATGTGAGATGGAAAGAGATTACGGATTGTTAGATGTTGCTCAAAAGCACAGTATTTGTATTTATTTTTATTCAGGATTGTTCTAGTTTGTTACTGGTCATATTTGCATAAGCTATTTTATTTAGGTGATATAAATAGTAACATTTTTATCTCTCTTTTTTTTTCTCGGTATAAATTCTTAATTTTTATATCATTATATTCTCATTAGTTGTATGAAAATTAGACTGAGATTGTTATAGAATTGATTAATGTTGACCCTTTCAGATCTAATTTTGATGTTTTTGGTAACAATAATTACCTTATCCAGAAGGTTTTAAGGAATGAACTGAGAACTTAGAGTTAAATTAAAAGAAAGAAATTAAATAAATGGTGCCAAAAATACTTTAAAAAGAGGTGTCAATAACCAATTACTTTGAATCAAACTCTACCTTTCCGCGGTCTTCCTTTTACCTTATGTAACTAATATGACATTAATCAACTTTACCTTAACAGTGAATTAAGAAGTTGTTTTATGTAAAACTGGTATTTAATTAATGAATTGAATCAAGTGTTTAATTGTAAGGGTTGATCTTGATTGATAATGATTCAGATTCAGTTGACTAGTAAAATATTTAGACAATGATTTTGAGTGTTTAGTTTTTTATTTTGGTTATTATATAATTTTAGTCAAATGAGGAAATAATTAATATTTCCTTATAATAAGATCATGAAAGTCACACCTGATAAGGATTCATTACAAAAACATTTTTTAGTTGATTGAAAAATTTGTAAACTTAGTCTTTTATTTTTAACAGTTCGATTATATAAATGTTCACAATATATACTATTACAGCAGGAATATTATATTAATTTTACATAACACTATCTGAAACTACATGCAAATAATAATTTATTTCTTCCTGTATCAAAGTCTTCTTTTGATCTGAAGCTCATTGCTATTGCTTTGAAATTGTTAAACTCTACTACTATTTACATTAGATCACAACCTCCGTTTGACTAGCAGTGGTCATGGTTATAAATAAAAGTATGTTGTCTTCCCTTCATAAAACTCTTAATTCAATTGACATTGATGGTATTAAAGTATAAAACGACTTCAACATTTGTTCATTTGGTAACAGCCAGGAATAAGCAAAAGTTACCTTTTCTTTTTTTTCTTTGATTCTTGTTTCAATTTACTATCTCCAATGTTTTAAAAAATTATCACTGATATGTTGACAACTTTGATATAAAAAGAAATTCCCGTAAAAAAAAGGTAAATTATTTTTGTCTTTTTTTTTTTTTTAAGTTTAAAAAATTTATTAATTAACTGTTATTTTTATTATTTTTTTTTTTTTTAAGCTAAGCATTTTTCCTTTGATTGGCGATACCAATCAAAGGAATGATTCCTATCTTAACAAAACAGATCACATCCTTGGTTCAACTAGTAGTGACCATGCAGTTTGTTTCTTATTATTTTGTTCATACATAGTTTAGCATTCTTGTTTAAATTTGTTTTCACCACAGTACTTAAGAAGTACTAGTGACTTATCATAAATTAAATTATTTTATTACTATCTATGGTGAAAAAAATTTTTTTTTTCTACCACCTCACCAATAATCGCCTTCTACAAGACTTCATACTTTTCTAAAAACTTTGATCTACTGATCTTTCATTCTAATTCACTCCTGATTCTTTTTTGTAATTTGCTATGTATTATAATGGATATCAGATTTAAAGGGGATAGAGTGGATTTACCAATCCATTGTTGGGTTGAGGTATTCTTTCATTTTTTTCTAAAAATTTTGATCTGCTGCTTTGTTTGCTTTGCTTATATGTTACTAAAAACATCAAATCTGAAGGGGATAAAGCACATTTTTAAATTTTCTATAAAGCTGAGAGTTTAAATGTGAAGAGAAAAAACTTCTCTCTATTGCATCTTCCTTATAGGTAAGAATTTTGCTATTGCAAGGTATTTCACTAATGTGAGGTATGTGAAATGTTTGTTTTAAAACATGAATCATACATTTTTTTTTCTTATGTTCTGTGCATAAGTATATAGTACCTTATGTTACTAGTCATGTCTAATTAAATTATGTATATGCAAAATATGAAATTTTATGCTTTATTTTTCATGTATTTTATTTTTGTAATAGAACATATTGAGTTTAAATTCGGTAAAATATTATGCAGTTTTAGATGTTATATTGTTGGCTGTATTTTTTTTTTTAATAAAAGAGGTACACTTATTGTATTTCTAGTATTTTATTTTATTTCAATTTTTCTGTAAGTTATATGTAGTTTCTTTTCCCCTGATAATTTCCTAAGAAGACTACATATATTGTTAATTTTGTTTTTTGCCACTCTTGTCAAGCCTAAATAAATTTTAACGCAAATATCTCAGGTTGTTATAGACAGATTCTGTTTCAAATTTTTGTGTTTGGTATAATTGAATGAAGCGTAATGTGTGTTAGAATTTTATTAAATGAACATAACTAGAAATGCTCTGATAATGTTTTATTGAGACTTAATACATTTTGCTTTATTCTTAGGTACCCTTAAAGGAGTAGTTAATAGCCTTATTTTAATAAAAGCATCTATTACAACTTTTCTATTAGCTGTATTATATATATAATCCTTAATTTGCTGGTAGCTGATTAATTTATACGTAAATTGGTAATTTCTCTATGAGCTTGAACAAAAGATGTGTCCTGGAGTTAAATAGTCTAGAATGCTAAAAATGAAGCACTATTCTTGATTACGTGCTCTTAAATTGTATATACCTTTCTTTCTTTTTTTCAAAAAATAATAATTTTTTTTAAAAAAAAAGAGTAAAAACTTTTAATTAGAAATGGTTGTTTTAGGTTTAAAGCTTCCGTGTTAGATCAATTTTCAATTACTAATTGTTAAGAGGTTTTACTTTTCCAATAAAAAATAACTATGTTTCTAAATCTTAGGAATTCCAGTATCAAACCGGATTTGACTTTGAATTCAATCATTCTAGAGTGAGTATAAAAACTGAAAATATATTTAATTAAAATTTATAGTCAATGAATTCAAATTTTTATTTTCGGGGAATGAACTTCTTAACTCGAACAATAAATTCCTTAGATTATTATAAAGGAAATGAAAAAAAAAATCAGCTCCTTTTAAATGAATGCCAATAATTTCATAAAATATTCATTTAGAAGAGAGATATAATAGTTTAGCATAAATAAAAATAAAAAAAATTCTTCTTTTTCAGAAAGTTGAACCTACATTGCTGGGCAAAAGGGAGAGCAGCTAATCGATTCATAAAATAAATTTTCCTTTCGAAAAATATTAAATTTTTTCCAAAGATGTAAACAAAAAATAATTTCAAATGCAAGTTACCCGAATTAGAAATTAAAATAGATAATTTTGGTATTCATTGTAAATTATAACCATACGCATACACACTATCTAGCTAAAGTATCAGGATAGTCAGTTATATGAACTAAAAAAGTCCTAAGGCATATATTAATATGTTTGTTCTTTTTAACGTATACACGTCTCCGAAAATTTTCTATCGGTTTTTTAAGAAATGGGCCGTAGGAAATGACTTCCGTAACAACTGAAAATGACTGGTCATGTAATTTGTTTTTTAATTGGATCAAAGGGGTTTTATGCTACTTAGATTGGGTGTTTGAGAAGGCCACACCAGTTTTTTTAATATCCATTTCGTCAAACTATGGTTGCGCCAGTCTCGTTGGAGTTTCAGTGAGTTGCTTGCACTGTCGAGGCGAGACGCGGGATAAAGTAGTGTTGTCGGATGCACTGATCACTATAGAAGAAACACAGTGGACAACCTTTTCTAAAGTGTGGTTTAAGCATTCATTGTACACCCTTTTAAAAAGAAGGTTAGAGCAACTGGCACTTTCTCAAAAATTTCTCAATGAATATAAAAATATACTAGTATAAAATCACATTTGAGTAATTTGTATGCGTAAGGGCATTTTCTTTCCGAATGATTATAAAGAAACAAACCTGGACTTATAGCAAAATTAAATTAGAGTGAGAATATTTTTCAAATTGTGTCATACGTAATATTTTGAAGGTTAAAAAACTCAGTCAACAAGGGATATGTTTAATCATAGAGAGATATCTGTATTAATTAATTGATTGTTGGGGTAGCTGATATATATCTCGAAATATATAAAAATGATATTGAAGGATAAGGTAATTTTGTTTCGTTTCTAACAGTGCTACGTCCCGCAGTGGACTGATCGTTAAGACACGGTTCCCAGCAGATCACCGAAGTTAAGCATTACTGGCTACGGTCAGTGTGCGGGTGGATGACCACTTGGATCAGTTTGCGTAGGGATCGAGGATGTGCGGTATTGGTCCTCGTTAAACTGTGCTACCGTAATGTGCTCGAATTCGCACGCAGGTCGTCGGGTACCGAAGCGGGGGTGCTATCCCCTCCGCAGAGGATCAAAATTGTGATGGCATGTCTTCGGATCATCCTCCGGGATGTTTCCCAGACCGTCGCCATTAGCTCTAGTGCGACGTAAATTAACAACAACAACAATAACAGTGCTACCACAACGTAAGGTTACCAAATTTCAGTGAAGAGAATCCTGGACACGCAAGTGAATTCAGCATATTTATTTGTATGATTTAATAACGTTAAGACGATAATGGCACACTTAACCATACCATGCTCCCCCATCTAGCAGCTAGCCACCGATGAGTGCTAATTGCTTCTAGGTCAGGTTTTTCTTGTGGTTGCCTTTCTTTCACCACAACAAAAACCACGCTTCGCAGATATAGAAAGCAAGATTTATACGGGAGGGGTATTATTATGCGTTTGCATTAGGATGCGCAGCAGTTAGTAGCGTATTGTACTGTTAACGTAAGAAAATTCATCTTTGTACTCCTCTTGCAATTAAACAATCACCAGGGCCCGACTTTGCATAATTGGGGCCCCCTCAGCGTCACTATTTCAGTAATGAAGAATAGACGACGAAATAGCGTTCTGTCCATTTTATTGATTTTCTGCTGACAGTAGGGTGGAATTCAGATAAATTTCGCAAATACGATGGCTCAATTAAGCCAATCTGAAGCTAACATTTCTGCAAACATATCAAATTTTGCGATACGTAAAAAAAATAAGGCTTTTGATTGGCGAAATTTGTCCGTTGTAATTGCAAAAATTTGAATGAATTCCGCTCTAGAAAGCTATGGATTTACGAAACATAGATTTTTTTATGTTTATGAAATAGATTAATGAATATAACATCAAGTAACATATTGAAAAAGGAATAATGAATGATTTATTCAAAATATTTCAGACTAATGAATAGATCCTTATTCATTATTCAGGAAGATTTTTAATAATTACTCATCACTCTTTATTCATTATTCTGCTGCTTGCTACATTGTAGGATATGAAAAATTACCTTCAAATGAAGGTAAGATTAGGTAACTCGCAAAAATTGCGAATCGGGTTCTCATTCACACGAGATTTCGTCGCAGTCTCATGCGTGTCTAGGACAATTGGATGCAGTGGGAATGGACAATGCCCCTCTCAGCGCCGTGTAAGAGAAGGACAATCTTAATGGTAAATTATGCTCTCTTCTGAAGAACACACCACCAGTCCCGCAGTGGGCTGATCGTTTAGACACGGTTCCCAGCAGAACACCGAGGTCAAGCATCACTGGCTACGGTCAGTGTGCGGGTGGGTGACCACTTGGATCAGTCTGCGTAGGGACCGAGGGTATGCGGTATTGGTCCTCGTTAAACTGTGCTACCGTAATGTGCTCGAATTCACGCGCAGGTCGTCGGGCTACCGAAGCGGGGGTGCTATCCCCTCCGCAGAGGATCAAAATTGTGATGGCATGTCTTCGGATCATCCTCCGGGATGTTTCCCAGACCGTCGCCAATAGCCCATTGTGCAGCTCTAGTGCGACGTAGATTAACAATAACAACAACAACAGAAGAACACACCAATCAGAATTACTTTTTCTCGTAAATTGTATGCAGTGAGAATGGTCCCGATTTTCCAATGCAGATTCTCATTTCCACGCGCGACTAATGCCATTCACAGTGAAAATGATCCCAGTGAACTGGTTATTTGTAAGCTGCAACCTTCTTTGATATGCTTGATCTAGTTCAGCTTTTCGTCACCACAATATTTCAACTTTGGCAACACTAAGTCTAAATTCTTGCTCGCGTGGTAAATTCAGGGCTCTGAGGGTCTGTCCACCATCATAATTTTTATTTAATAAAAATGACGGGTTTCACTGAAAAAGTAAGTTAAACTATTTTATTTAAATGACAATAACTTTGTTTTGTTGTTAAAATAAAACCTACATAATGTTAAATATTTCAATGTATTTGTTATTAGTTTCAATATAGGTGAGCGAATCGTTTCACGTGGTTGACTATTTCATTATTTATAAAATTGTGTTAGTGTGTTTAATTTATTCTAAATAAATGGCAAAAATTATTCACTTATTTCTTAGAGAAGCTGATTTGTTACGTTATTGTTTTATTAAGTACTATCGGCGTTGTGTTGTCGAATGTTTAGGCCTAAACTACCACAGCCATTTGAAGAGCGATTTCGATATTGAAATGATTTTTTTTTCTCTAAAGAAAACATAGTTAAACACCTCTTAACTCTAAAGTAGTATTTGATTTTGACAATGCTATCACACTTTATGGATGTACATTTTGTTTCTTTCGATGTTTTTTATCGCTATATTGCGATATCACTAATGTCTTAATTTTTTCTTCCACAGCCCATTATAATCGATGGTAAAGGCCATCTTCTTGGTAGATTAGCTGCCTTAACTGCTAAAACTCTGCTTAACGGTAAGATAATTATCCAATTAAATAAATTGCATGATTTTGTTCTTGTTTCCTATAATTTCCCCTAGACAGTTACAGTAAATTCCCATTACAGCTAGTGTATTGTAGATTTATTGTCCTTAAGATTATGTCAATGTAGTATTATATTTTGTTCTTAAGAAAACAAGGTTATGTACAGAAAGTTGTTTGTAAAATAGTTAGACCATGGGTCTTTTATGACTTATAATGGACTGGTAAATTTAAACTTTTATTCTATAACAGTGTGACATGACAAATAATATCTCTTGTGCTGTGTTGGGAGAAGATTTTTTTTTAAAAATGTAAAGAAACCAGTGTTTTCCCAAAGTTTTTTTTTAAAAGGTTGCTTTGATTCTCATACACATACTCCCACCTTACCTAACAAGCCACAGTCCCCCCAAATCACTGCATTTTTATTATTTATACTACCTGTTTCAATGAAAAGTCCACTGCTGATTTATTTAGTTGTTTAAATTTTTTAATTGCATTTCTATATTTTATTAAGAGTTTTCTAAATTCACATGATATTCTGCCAGAGCGATATTCTTTTAGTTGAGGGAGAATGTATATTAATGATTCTTATTATGATTTTAAATTTTACCATTTTTAACATGTCTAATTTAAATATACACCTTCAAACTACTTTCTCATAAATTTCAGTTTAATATGTAAATGTTTAGTTTCTAAATGGGAGAATATATTGTTTTGGATTAGTATTATTTGGGTTGTAATTCTAATTAGAGTTTTTCAGTGTGTAAACACTGAATTAGCAAATTAGATAAGTGTTAAGATTTCCATTTTTTTTGGTGATAGGCAGTAATTTTTTTATTAATAAGAATAAACTTCAGAAGCAAATGCTTATTTTCTCATTGTAAAGGAATGACATTTAGTGAGGGATTGATTTTAGTATATTTAAAAGTGTGGTTGCTATGTTTTTCTTGTTCAATACTTTTTAAGTCTTTTAGTGGCTTAAAATTGGTGACTTTGTTTTCTCCTTTTACATTGCCAAAGGATCTGACTTATTTTTTATATAAACCCCAGACGAAATAATTGTTGGTATAATTTATAGCTACCTCCCGAGAAAACTTCTGCCTATATTTTCAAATTTCAGAAAGTTAAAAAGCTTTTTGGTACTAACTAACGTAACTTTTGGATTTTAGTAATTTTGGCTATCTGATGTTTTATTCATATTGCAGTGTTCATTAAAACCACTCCTATTTTAAACGTTTGATTTTATAAAATGGATTGCAGAATTCTATCAAGGAATAGAAAAGGGCAAGGCAAGGATTAAAAATAGCTCATTTTTAATAACCTAGCAAATTTTTAAATTACCAATAATTCATTTATGTGTGTATTTCAAAGACTAACTGCTGAAAGGCAATCACTGTGAATGTTAGCTAAAGAATAATGAACATATAAAGGTAAATTTTTCATAAAGTATTTCTTAAAAAAATTGTTTTAATATTTAAAATTGAAATGTATTATGATTTCTCCATAAAAAGATAGTCATAACAATTTAGCCAGTTGAGTAATTCTAACTAAGTAAATATTTGTAATAGTAATCAGAATGAAACCCATAAGCACAGATAGTTTTGCGGGAGTGTAATAATTTGAACAATAAATTAATGTTTTTTAACATGCAATATAAAAGAAGTTTTTTTCATTGATGCAAAAGGTTTATTTATAGGGCATAAGGTTCAAAGGACAGGCAGGGCGGTTACAGCATGTTTACTTAAACATGCTGTAAATTTTTTTAATTCTAAATTATTTCTGCCTTTGTTAGAATTTATTTAGATAAAAAAATTTGATTAAAAAATGCTTTGTAAGCAAAATTTAAAATTAGATTTAACATGGTTTAAAATTTTATTTAAGTTTAAATACATGCATTTTGTCATTTTAAAATATTTAACTTTTCTGATATCTATTGAAAATAATTTACCTTATTGAATAAGTGATTATTATTAAATAAGTAATAATTATCTTAACTAAGTAAACTTTATTCTAACTTTAATATTTTTTTTTATTTCCCACATTAAATTTTAGTGTAAAAGCTTTGAGAACTGCTTTAAAAGTGTTATCTATTTTAAAAAATGCATATATTTTATAAGTGAATCGTACTTATTCTTTTATATGAGTTCGAATTTAAGGGTTGAAATTGTCATATCGAGATTGTTTCTCTGATTTTTTTAATAATGGAACATTTTCATTTCAGGTCAAAGTGTGGTTATTGTTAGGTGTGAAGGAATAAATATTTCCGGAAGTTTCTTTAGAAGTAAATGTGAGTATTTTTCAAAATAAATGAATTTCTTTTTATTTTAATAAAGTTAAGTCTTAAGCATTATTTTATTAATATTATGGTATTCTATAATAATTTTATGGTAATGGAAATAGCATCAGATTAAAAATATCATAATTTTAAAAATGTGAAAGAGGCCTATAAAGTGGTAAATAACAGTTGATAAACCTATCAGAAAAGCCGAAGAATGACAGATTGTGAGAAATAATCATTGAACGACATAAAATTACAGTGAAATTGTTACGGATCGAACACTCAAATTTGAATTTCGAACATTGTGTAATATAGTACTAAACATATCGGAATTTAAACAACCCTATACAAGGGACCAAGAAAATGATGAATAACTTACTTAAAAAATCAGCAAACATAAAAGAATATATAAAATTGTCACGAATCAAATGGAGATAACCCTAATTGTAATTTTTGAAAGGTGTAATAACATTGTATTACCTTAGTCCACCTTAGAATGAACTTTGATAAGTGTTTTCTTATGAACTACAACTAGTTGATGAATACCTATAATTTAAAATATGTATAAATTATTTTTAAACAAATTATGCTCTTAGATAAGTTTGTAGATATGTCGCTTGAAATCATCAAATTTCTTAATAATTAGCAGCTTCATTTTTTTTTAGAAGTTTAATTTTGTTTTTGATGAAGGTCACTTGCACCTATGTGTAGTTTATTATTTTAACCCTGTAGGATTACTAGATAATTTCGTTTTCTTTGTAATCTAATTCTAATTTTGTAATTAAGAAGGTAAAGAGTAAGACATTATTTCTTTTTTAGTGAAATATCTTTCATTCTTGCGTAAAAGATGTAATATCAAACCATCAAGAGGACCTTTCCATTATCGTGCTCCTGGCAAAATATTCTGGAGAACAGTTAGGGGTATGGTACCCCACAAAACAAAGCGAGGTGATGCAGCATTGGAACGTTTGAAGGTATTTGAAGGCATCCCACCACCATATGACAAAAAGAAAAGAATGGTCGTTCCATCTGCTTTAAGAGTACTCAAATTGCACCCAAGAAGAAAAGTATGATATTTCGATTACTAAAGTTGAAATTTTAATGATTATATTATTGTATAATTTAATGGCTTAAAAATATTTAACTTAGTTGAATATAGTTTTTATAAATTGTTAAAAGTTTGACCTATGATTTCTAAAGATATACACAGTCGGACTTCTATTTAACGAGCTTCAATTTTGAGAACTTTATTGAGGAACCAAGGACATTTTGGAAATTTCTTCATTAAATAACTTCCAAATAGCGAAGTGAATTTTCTATTTAACGGAGAAAAAAAATTTTTAGATCCTTTTTTCCTATTTAAAATTACTTTGCAGATATAATTTTATGTAGCAAATAAATTTAGCTATTTTTAGTTGAAAATGTATGTAGCATGGTAGTGTAACACTGGATAATGTTTTTGCTCTTTTCTTGGTTTTTATGTCGATTTCTTTATGGCTAAGATTTATAAAATAAATAGTAGATACTAGTTTTCAAGAAAAAGGTGTATCCATTATTGTTTTAATTATGTCTAGTGTTAATGAATTTAAAACCTTTTCTGTGTTTAAGTATTTGAAAAATGCGATTTTCTATTTAACAAATTTCCCATATAACTAACTTATTATCGGGATTTAGCAACTTCGTTAAATAAAGGTTCAACTGTAATTTAAATTTATTCCATTAGTAAGGTTTAACATGTGTGAATAATTACTGTTTTTGTCTACTGCATTTATTATGCATCAGAAAAATGCAATGCTTTTGTGTTTTTTTTAGTACTGCAGTTTAAGCCGCCTATCCCATGAAGTTGGCTGGAAATACCAAACTGTTATAGAGACACTAGAAGCTAAAAGAAAAGCTAAATCTGCTGCATACTATGGAAAAAAGAGGAGGGATGAGGTAACATTAATACTTTTTTATATTGCTATTTCATTTATATCACGTATAAGTGAATTAGTTATTTAGTTAAGATCTCTGAAGGCAATTCAAAGTTTAAATTAAATTTAAGATTTATATTTGAAACATATGTTGCGGTTGTATTAAAATTGCAGTTAGTTGCTATGATAATGATGCTATTTTTTCCATATTGTGTATCATTGTGCCTTCTAATGTATAAGGTAAACCTACTTGTTTAGATTTATTAATTTTTATATTCTCTCCTGTGGATATGCTTTTGATGATAATTTTTATTTCATAATTGAGATGCTGAAATAAACATGCACTACCTTCTGAGGCATATCTTCGCTTTAAAAATAAACTGGAATAATCGTCTCTAAGACATTTTCATGTAGAAATTTTATGCATTTTTCATGGAATCTTGTATGAATTGTATTGTATCTTCATTTACATTTTTTTCCTACCGTAATAATCTTTTATTTGGTCTGGTTTTTTGTTCTATAGCATAAGGTTAAAATTTGGTAGTCCACTATAGTAGATAGGCTTAAGTAAAAAGTTTTAGCTGTACAATTACAATTTATGTCCATATTGCAATTGTTGCATGTCAATTATCAGGTGTCTGTCCAAGCCAAATTTACTACCGTTTAGTGGTACCTTCACAAATTCAAGTTTAGGAAAAACAGTAGTTTCACAAAATAATTTTTCTTAAAATTTTATTTTTTGTGCCTCATAAGAAACAGTAAATCCATATTTTTACCATTGTGTGTTTTTATTTTTGTGTTGATTTTTTGAAATTGATAATTTGTGAAAATTAAAAATAAGATGATTTTTAAGTATTCAGAAATTATGCTAAATTTTCTCAAAATAGGTACCTCAGAAAAACCTTGACAGACCCCTGATTATTGTACATAATTATATTAAGCACCGCATCATTTGAATTCTAAACACCTAAATTTATTTAGTTAAGGTTAAATTTACCATATAATTTATTATTTTACAGTAATATTCAGGATACATTTTTCATATTCAAGTAATTACTTTTTTGCATACTTGATTTTAGACAATTTTTTGATAAATCTATGTAAATTTATTTCTTAAGCAATGTTGGTACCTGCTTCAACATAATTTTTTGACAATTTTTTAATTGTGTTGTAGTATACCCAAATATTTTATTCAAGCGAAAAGTTATTGTCAATACTTTGCGGTGTATATATTTAATTGTGACAATATTTAATTATACTTTAATATTGTCTCCTTGTTTGTGGGAACATTAGAGATACATGGTACCAGCAAAATCGGGAGTTAGGCAAAAAGTAATTTATAATTTAAGAAAATGCATTTAATTATTACGAATAAAGTTTTTGCTATCTTCTGCTATGTTTATTTGTTATCTGTTATAAAAACAGTACCTTTTAATTGAATAAATTCCTCGGATGTGGTGTCATTGCCAAATTTCACCTGATGTGGAATTGCATCTGTTTTCAATAAAAATCTCCTGCTTTTATTAATAAGAATTTTTCTTTTATAATATTATTACTGGCATACATTTAATCAAGCGTTTGTTATTAAAAGAAGACAATATTTTATGTAGTCGTATGAATGCTTATTTTACAATAACTTGATGTTTGTCCAAATTTTTTTTATTTTTTTTTTATTGCTAAATAAATTCCCTTAGACTTAGTTTGCCTCTCAGTCACATTTATAGTACTGATAATTTATTTCTAATCAGAGCTGGCATAATTTGAATCACTGCATTTTTTTTTAATAAAAATAATTTATTACTGCTTTCTTAGAATTAGGATTTTATTTATGATTCTAGTTTAATTTTTAATTAAATATAAAATTGGTTGAATTTAAAAAAAAAGGGAAAAAAACTGAAATTTTGCATACAGTCAAGTCTGAAATTTCTTTTTGAGTAGATAATGTTAATTGTCTTTTGAGTGAGGATATTTTGCTTTCTGGAATTTGTTAATGTGGGCTTTTTCAATTTTAATAGTTAGAGATATCTAAGCATTTTTGTTTTTCTTTTGTTCAATTACTGCTTAGATACCAAAATAAAATAAGATAAATCCTGTGATGATACTATAGTTAGCATAATGTTTTTTGATGAAATAAACATGCACTACCTTCTGAGATCAAGTTTTATTTTTTAATAGTTAGCATTATTTATTGCCTATATTGAATTTTTCTTTGATATCTGCATGTACATTTTTTCAAAGTTTACTTTTTTATTTCAAAAAATTTTACTCTGTGATGATACTTAAAAAAAGCATAATGTTATTTGATGAAATAAACATGCACTACCTTCTGAAGTAAAGTTTTTGATAGCTGTTTTATTCTTAATTACTGATTGCTTTTGATGAAAGTTATTAAAGCATATTAAAGTTGATGAAATAAACATGCACTACCTTCTGAAGCATTGCTATGCTAAGTGAATCATATCAGTATCTAAGTAATTGTACACGGTTAAAAAATATGGTATTGTTATTACACAATTGGTTTCTGCTTCATTGAGGTAGAACAATCAATGCTTTTTTTTTAAAAATTAGTTTCTAGTTTAATTTTTATGTGGTAAAATTGTCTGCATATTTTTTATTTTCAAGTCTTTCTTACTTAAAATTATGATATTTAAAAATGCCTAAGAAATTTTGTTCAAAAATCCTTGTTTCTCTTCTAACCTCTTCTTCTGTGATTTTTTTTCTCTGTATTTTTACTGAATTCAATGTTTTTTGCTGAAATGGGTGTTTTCGGTACCTGTGTGCTGAATCTGCTGGCACATTTGGAACGCCTTGCTATTTCTATATTATTATAATTTAATTCCATCTCAGTTTATTCATTTACAATTGACTCCTGGTTAATACAAGACTATGTTAATGACAAGAATTGTTTTATATCAAATAATTAATAGATCTTGTCAAGGAAATTTTTGTTTAAATTTACTCAAGACAGTTAAACTTGCAGTTTTTAAATGATTGATATTTCAAGTGTTTTATTGTTCTTTGGTATTTTGTTATTACATTCGTTTAAATTTGTATTGAACTTTATTGTTATTAAGAATTTTCTTTCTTTTTGTATTTTTAGAAACTGAGGAAAGTTGCAATGGAAAAAGTAGCTAAAACCATTGAACCACAAAAACAAATTCTTCGATCCTATGGCTACAATGTATAGTAAAGATTTTTTCATTAAAGTTGAAATTTGAATGTGTTTTTTGTGCTTTATTTCTTGTTTGAATATATAATATTTGTGGCAGTGTTATTGTGAGGGTTCTTTTTTTTTCTTGGGGGTTAACTCATTACTAATTAATAATTTGTTCAATAAAAAAAGAAGTTATTTAAAAACTGGAAGTACATTCTATCTTAAGATTAATTTCATGATTTCATTGCTTACTTTTGCTTTTTCTCACATTGATTCTTGTGGTGTTTCGTAAATATATGGAGATTAAATGTTTGACAAAGTTTACAAAATCTGCCAAAAAATTTTCTTAATGGTCGTTTAAGATTATTGCAGTTAGGGAAAGTATGATTTGAGCATTCCACTCATTTCTGGGGAATATTAATTTGGCTCATATAAGCAAGTTAATTTCTTCCATCTTGCAATAAAGTAAAATTTCAAATAATTATTTGTTGTATCTCTATTGATCTTTAAAGCGTAGAATGATCTAGGTTGACACTGCTGTATTTTTTCAAACTAAAAATTGAGTGATAGTTTCATAGCATTTAAATGTTTTTTATTGTAAATGCAGGTGTAGAACTACTATATTTTCAATGAATCCTAAATATTTACATAGCGGTAGAAAAGCATCCTATATTCCAATTAGTCGTGTATATATAAAAAAATTCCTGTTTTTTTCTTTGCACTTTTTTGTTTCTTTTACTCATTCAACTGGCGATAATACTGACATCTAATAGTTGAAATAGAACAAACGATACCCTCTGTGGTCTAAAGATTGTTACAAGCCACCCCTTATTTTATAATAAACTGAACAGGGTGGATATGCACTAGTGAAGGTATTTTTTGAGAATTTGAAAATATTACTATTGATAAAACATGGTTATAGTGGGTGCTTGACCATGAAGACCTGAATGGATTTTAGTTCCTTAAAAAATTTTATTAGTTTAATTTTTTAATATAATTGAGATAAAGTAGTAAATTATTTAATAGATATAGCTATGAATATTTTTTATTTGTAACATTTAAATATAATAAAATTATATTATATATTTGGAATTTTTTAATGTAAAAATTTTTTTTTTAAGATACAAGAGTGAAAATGTGAACGACTTAAAGTATTTAACATCCCAGTCTTTGATGAAATAGTTTTTCTTAAGTAAACAAACTTTTTTAATTGCATTTACATTTTTATGCTGCTTAAATTACCGGCTTATTACAAAACAAATATGCATCTGAAGAAACTGCCTACTAAAGATATCCATATTCAGTTTTTATATAGTACCATCTGAAACGTCGATATATAACACCAATGCTTATATTCTTGAAAACGAGTGAATTTTTTTCTTATTGGCAACAAAAACAAATATAAAAATTACGTTAGCATCATACATACACAATGGAAATATGAAACAATCGAATGAGTTTAGCAGAAATGGAAAGTAGAAAGCGAGCAATTATAAAAGAGTCTTAATTTTTTTTTTATTGAACCTCAACTCAGAAGATGGTGCATTTTTTGAACAAAAATCGTTCATGCTTTTTTGTTTAAATTTCTGAGGTACAGTTGAGCTATTAAGTAATTTTGTTAAAATAAATTGTGAAGCTACATTTGGAAGGGGAAGCATGCATAATTTTTCTCGCTCCGCAGAAGTGTCAGATTTTTATCTATCTATTTATACGTGCATGTAACTAACATAAGCATGAAACTTATTTGCTTATTCACCCATTATCCTAAAAAATAAAATCAAACCAGAAGACTCCCCTGACGTCTTAGCATCTTAGTTGGTGTAAATCGCTGCTTTTTTATCCAGAGCAGATTATATTTATGATCCAGAGCATGTGAGTATTTCTAATTGTATTGCCACCTATTAATGATACAGAGGACTGTCGTCTGGAATAAGGTGCATTGATTAAAGCAAAATATTTTAATACTTTCCATTAAATTAATGAGCTGCAAACTTTTTGAATCTCATTAAATTACATAGTATTAAATGAAGGGTGGCCCCCCATCTGAAATTATCGGGATTTTTTTTATACTGGAAAAGTCAGGGAAATTTTTCATAATTTAAATTATTTTATCCTTCATACCAAATTTAGTTAGACGGGAGTTTATCGTAAAACAGTTGAAATATCTACTTACCAATACCTTGCTTGCATTAAAATTTTCTCCATTACTCTGCCAAACTAGAATGCTATATGAAATTCTCCCATGGTTGCTAAATGAAAAGACCTTTTGCTCAATGAAAATATAGTAAACAGTACTTATTCAAGATTTTTTTGTTTTGTTTACTCTGTATTTGCTAGTAGGTACATTTTCTGATACTACCTAACACTTTAATACATATTTTAGTCATTAAAAGAAATATATTCTACAAGGTAAACATATTTTATTCACATCTACTCAAGTTATATTTAAAAAAAATTAAATAAGAAATTGATACTTTTGCTGAATTTGAAACCTGATTTAAGTAGTTACCCTGAATTATTCGAAATTAGCTCTGAGCTATTTTCTTTTCATCAGTTGATGTCTGAATCGATTCTGCGCACCCTCGGTTCTTTCGCCGGTTGTTTATAGTAGTCATCCACCAAACCGCACCCTCATATGCTTGACGTCCGTCGTCTATAAGAACCATTCTCACTACTAATGATTTTTTTGCGAGCGTGAGAGAAAGATTGGCGAGTTTTTTGCGGTTAATTTATTTCCTACCAATCGTTTTTTTTTCCTCTCGCTTGTTTAAAAATCACTTTTAAATGCGAATAAGACAAAAAATTAATAGAAATTATTGATCCCATCGAAAAGCTCGCCAATCAGGTTTACGCTCTCTGGCTAAAAAGTTGATTTCAGTGGAAATATCTCTGAAGTTTGGCTGAAGAAACTAGGCAAAGCGTTTCTTATTTATTTCTTGAAATTTCATTGTAAGAGATTTCGAAAAGTTTTTAACTGTAAACCGCAGTAAGTTCGTGTTTATTTTCCTATAGCGTCTAAATTAGAAATTTTATCCTCTGTTTATTGAAACTTCACTCCAACTAATAAGTAAGATCTATCATATACGTTGAATTGATTATTAATCTTCAATTTCTCCACTTCAGTAACAAATGTATTTTGAAAATTGCAATAATTATTTTCTTAAAATAATGTTGAATGAAGCATATTTGAAAAAAATTTTAGTTGAATAAATTTGGGCAGCAGTGTTGACGATTAGATTAGAAAAATGAAATATATTTGTGAATCTGAGTTTTGTAAAAGTAATCTAGGAATAGGATAGAAAATGCTGTGTGCTTACATAAACTTGGCATATTCGTTTATCCATTCGCAATTTTAAGTTTTATTCGGAATTATAACAGGTCGCACTTGTAATATAGAACTGATCTTTAAAACTAACTTCTTGTTTATTCAAAAATTATGTTAGATGCTCTGAGTACTTAAAATTTTTTCAAATAACTCTAAATTTGATTGTGAAACCAAAAGGGATATTTGCACATCAGCATCTGTTTTCATTAACTCATATTGCAAAGGAGTCAAAGTGTTTTTGTTCTTACGAAAATAATAAAAAATATGTTGTGGCTTACAAACAGGTGGTAGGGATTCCTTTTCAAATTAGTCCCTTTCTGTTTTTTTTAAAAATTTTTTAGCATGAGACTGCTGGTTACTAACAAAATTTGGTGACTTTTTTCACCCAAGTACCAGTACGGAAATTTTCCCTGAACTTTAGTTACTTGAATTGTAAATTAAAGAAACTGGAGAAATTTAAACCTAAACTTTTTCCTCCATCCTTTGTTTATTTTCTTGCTTATCCTTGCAAGAGAAGATTCTTAATTTCAATATTGGTGTAATTGCGATAAAATTTTTTCCAGACTAGTGAAGGCTGCTTTAACTAACTTATTTTGATGCTTTGTATAAATAGAGTAGTAGGAATGTAGTTGTAGGAATGTAATTTTACCAAATAATATTTTTACCTTATATAAAATAATATATTGAAAAAAGCAAAATATTTCATTTTTAGTTCTATGAAAAACAATGGAGATTGTTTTCCATATTAAAATTTTCTACTTTTGTTCTTGTAAAAGAGGAGGGATTAGATTTTTTTTTAAAAGACCAAAATTATTTTATTTAAATTCAAGCATTAAATACTTCATTAAAACTTTTTATAAAATGTATGAAAATAAATTGCTTTAGAAACATTTTATTTTCATTTATATTCTTCTAGCAAATTTTAAATTTAATCATCTAAAATGCTCTGTTTTATTCTTTCTCTAAAATACAATAGTTAAAAATCATGTTAATTATGAAAAATTAAAAAAAAGAAAGAAGAAAGGCTTCAATAACGCATTAAAATTTCTAAATTTGCACTGTTGTAAGATATTAAAATAAAATAAAATTTTTTTTAAAAAGTATGTTTAGAAGTAAATTTTTAAAAACTATGTTTCATACTTATTTTGTTTTTAAATACATTTTTAGTGCTTTTTAATTTTGCTACTTCATTATTTTTTATGTTTAGTTGTTACTTTTCCCAGCACCTGAAATGATGGAGGTTGATAAGGAAATTAAGGATGTAAATGTAATTAAAAATATGGAAATTGTTGATGAAGAAAGTAAGGAGACAGATAAGTCTACTAGTATAGAAGCTGATAAGTCTACAAATATGGAAGTTGAGGAGTCAGAAGTTAGTAAAGAAAACAAAGCGACTTCTCAATTAACCGACACTGGTAATTGATAATATTCAAAAATAGTTTATTAGTACTATTAATATTTATTATCATTTGTCATAACTTTTATCCTTAAATGGTGAATAGTGAAAGAAGTTAAGAAGATACTTTCCTTGCCATCTTAGATTTGAATAGATAGGGCATGAAACTTCAGTTCTTAAAAAACTATCAATAATTCCATTTATGCTCACCATTGCTTTCACGTAAAATTGGATAAATTTCAAAATGTGACAAAATGTAGTTCATAGGAAGAACTTTTTGGTAACCAAAACCATAAAAGAATGTTGACAGTAGAAAATTGAAACATATTTATTGCAAAATAATAATAATAATACCATCTTAAAATGAGGTTGCAATCGTTCCAATATCATCCACTTATTAATAATAGTCATTGAAAAAAGGAAAATATCAGAAATGTTATCATACTTTAATCACTTCATGTTTTTATCATTACCTTTTAGCAGTAAAATGTCATTTGTCAATTGCAGACCTAGAGTCTCTGTTATCCAGTGAGTGGAAATTTCATGTCCTGTGTTAACTTGAATATTTTTTTCTCAATGGTTTTTTCTTAATAAACTGATTATGTTTCTAACTTCAGAATTTTCTTTACAATCTTAAAAAGAGAAGGTTATGTGGCTAGTAATTTTAGACAGGGTTGGCAAGTTTTTGACACATGACGGTTTTTACCGGTTTATACCATGGTTTTTACCGTCATGTCAAAAACCCCTTTGTCAAAAACCCATAGTTTTGGTAAAACTGTATTTTCATTTGAGTTTAACTGCTTATAATTTAAAACTAATTCATTTTTGGGCAATAAAGTTAGAAAAAAAGCTGTTAAAAGATATTTAAGGACAGATACTTGCATTTTCCCAACATGATTATATCAAAATATTAGGATACTAAACAAAATTTTCAACATTTCCAAGCATAATTTTATTTGGCATATTACATTACTGAAGAATGTCAAGTCACTCTTGACTTAGAATTTGTTAGTAATTACAAGTTTTGAAAGTTGTGTTTAGCTTATTTCTAATATTTAAGAAATGCCAAATTTTAAATTCTTCTTTTTAGTTCTTGAATTNAAACGTTTACAAATATACTACCCAAGATTTTTAATTTTTTTCAAGTAATTACATTTGTACTTTTAATACGTAATCGTACATATTATGCTTCAAAACTTATTTTGAATAGATAAATACATAGTTTAGTTTTTGTTTAGCATTATGTACTACTAGCTTTTTAAAAATTAAGAAATTTCTAAATTTAAAATTTCCATATTTTTCATTATTATTTTAAAAGAATTATTTATCGAAACCTGATTTTAACTTTTTTTTTTGAAATTTCCTGATGATTTAATTTTTTGTTATTTAAAATAGACATACATTTTATGATTTAAAATAAATATATAATTTTCCTTTTACTAAATATTTATGAATTCTAAAAATTTAATTATTTTAGTTTATTTTCAGCGTTATTTATCAATAACTTTTAAAGAAGTTTAAAATATTTCCGAAATTTATAAGGAGTGTATTTTCAATAGTTTTTTAAAAATTTATTTATAAATATCTCAATTAGTTTATTTTTCTAAGACTTAATACTTATCAAATATGTATAAGGACAGATTTCAAATTCTGTACAGATAGTTTTTATTGTTTTAAAAGTAATAAAAAAGAAAAATTAAAGTAAAAGAAATTGAAACGGAGAAAAAGTCCGATTCGAATGTTTGATTATTATCTCACATTTTGATTAAGTTAAACGTATATTTTTTTCAGCAAATAAATGAGGATTAAAAATTTCCTTTTAAATATAAATTAAAATCTCGGTATCACAATGCTACACAATATTTAAGAATATATGTATACATTTCTAAGTGCGTAATATACAGTTAAAATGAAATTGTTGCTTATATACCCTATATCTCTCATTAACATTAACCTATAGTATTCAAACTCGGCCTATTAGATTTTAACGCACTATACTACCATAACAAAGGATATAATTATACACAAATTAGGAAGCGCGCGAAATAATTATAGAAAAAAGGGGGCGCGGTACTTTAAAAGCTGTAAGTACAAATCGCCCCGTAACGCTCCTTAATATTAATTTATAATATTCAAATCAGGTTAGGTATTGTATTATAATATACTATAGTACTATATAAAAGGAATTAATTATTGACAAATTAGGGGGCCCACAATGGCGCACAATATCTGAGTATATATATATATATATATATATATCATAGTTCCTAATCGAAATTCCTAATCAATGTTTTCATTTGATAAGCATTAATATTTTTGTTTTAGGATTAGGCATTGAAATTAAAACTGAGCCAGAAGAACAGGATGTAAAAGAGCCACCCGAAATCAAAGATTCACATAATGATCAGAATCATGAAAAAAATGAAGGTAACTCCTCATTTTTTACTATTATTTTACTTTCACATTGAAATAATATCTTTCAATTTGTTGTTTGGTGTTATTTTTAAAGTTTGCTGTGTAAGTTTAATATAATTTTATAATAATTCAATTTTAGAGTGGATTTTTTATTTGATTTTATGTTCCCTGTTCTAATAGTTGGAAACTATAAAACATTTGAATTTTTCTAAACATTTCATTTTTCTTTTGAAAGTGAGATGGCATTCTTAAAAACTGAATTTTGAAATTGTCATTGCAAACTAAATTAGTTGCTTTTTAAGGGAGATTGTGAGTTATTTTTAGAAAATAAAATAAATAATTCTAAAAATTTATTTTGTAAAAAAAGTATTTTAGGATTTCAATATTTACAAATGTTATACAGCTGAACTTAATTATTAGAAGAACATAAAGATCTTAGCAATTCATTTCTTAAATTTAGTCTATTCCTGCAATTTAAACCAGATTTTGCCAAAATTATTAAATTTTAGTTTTTTTGAATAATGTAAACCTAAAAAGGACCTTTTTATACTGTATACTAATACCAGTTTTATATTTGTAAAAGTAATATTCATTTTGTTATAAATTGTTGAAGAGTAATATTTTCATTTGAATTGTGTTATTTTTTTCTTTTCTTTAAGATTCTTCTGAAAGTAGTGGAAGCGCTGAGCCTGATCTAAAAGAAATAAGTGAGACTTGTTTCGTAATACACTTATTTAGCATTTTAAAACTTCTAGTTGATAATGATTTTCATATACCAGTAGTCAGAATATATAGTAAAATATAGAATATAAATTTAAAAGCTAAAATAAAGCTAAGTAGACATTGTTAAAATCACAAAAATCAGCTAAATAATAAGAATACTAATAATATTTTAAATGAACCAAATATTTAATGTTTAGAAAATAGCTTAGTATTATTTATAAAACTTTAAAATTTACTTTAATTTTGGTTTGTGTAAAGTCTTGCTGGGAGTAGATCTTTGATGTGATTGACCCCAACTTAGGTGTGGAAAGAATTTCATATTTTCCTACTAATGGCGAAATTCTTCAGATGGATTTTAAAATTTTTTCCAGTTATATGTTTTTGATTCAGATTGTATTTGTAGTCTTGTTGTGAAAATATGTGTAAAAAAAGCCTCTTTGTTTGGAAACTGAGCAAAAGATTTTATGCAGTGATAAGTGATATGATTTTTTTTTTAATCAACAATTGCAGTTAAGTGCAGAATAATTGCGTGAACTTTTTTGGCTGTTATTAAGAAGCATTAATAAATTGAAATGGCTTGTGAAATCAATCAAATGGAGCCTACAAGAAAACGCATGAGAATGCTGCAAATAGAGAAGATAATTATGATTATCTTAAGGTGATGTTCCTAAAAATTGAATTTGGGAATAGTCATTGCAAGCTAAATGAGTTGATTTTTAAGGGAGATTACATGTTCTTTTCATAAAATAAAATAAATAATTTCTTCTAAAAAAATTTTTTTTTTGTAAAAAAATACTTTCAGATTTCAATCTTTACAAATGTTATACAGCTTACTTATTAAGATGATTGGAGAAGCTAGGAACCAGAACATTATTTCAACTGGCGCTGTTTTTCAAAAAAAGTGATGTTCTTAGCAGTAGCTATTGTCAATGATTAGCAATGTATAGCTGGTGTCAATGATTTTGCATGCTTAAATTTCAAGGTTCAAAAAAATGCTATGGTATAGTCTGCTATTTTTTATCTGCAGAGAAATATCTTTACGTGATATCTTTTAAATTCTTTGGCTTAGTGATTTGTTTTTTAAAATTATCCTAATTGATGATGTTAATATGAATTTTGATTAATACAAAAAATTGATTAATACTACCCCTCAAATAGGTTCGATAAGTTTAAAGAGGTGTATTAATTATTGTAAAAGATTCCATTTGAAATTCATAAAGCGATAAGTGCTGTGGTTTCAAAATTTATTAACATTTAATGTCTTGTTAATCAAATGAATTTCAATCTAATATTAGTGACGCCTAAAAGGATTTGTTTAAAAATAAGATGAAATTGGCCTGTGCAGTGTATTAAAGTTATCTCTATTTATTTTTGGTTTGTTTGTATTGTTTGTTCATTGGTCAGTAAATGTTACCGTTAAAAAAATATGTTTTTGTGAAATTTTATATGCATTTTCTATTAATTCTTAGTTTATATTTAATTTTCTTATTTTAATGTTTACTGTAGGATTTTCTGTGATGCATTAAACTAAAAATTGCTTATTTTTGGAATAACAGCTTTGAAGAAAGATTTTTTTATTTTTATCTGTCTTAGTTATCTGTTTTATTTTATTATATTAGTATAGACTTTCAATTTAGATTTTTTTTAAAATTGTGTCCTATAATTATCTCCCTTTTTGTAGTTCGCATTTCTGCTGGAGCTTCTAATAAAGATGATGGGGAAAAAATGATTCATTTAACAGCCGATGTAAGATTCAATTATTTATTTGTAATTGTTGAGTTTTATGATTTTTATTATAACATATTTTTGATATTTTAGTTAAATACTGAATGAAGTCGGCACTCATATTAAATCTTTTTATTTCAACAACTTCTATTAAAAACTGTCCATTTACATGGTTACTTCTTTTTTTTTTTTTGGTTATCTCAGACCCATGGAATATCATTTACAGAACTGCTTTCCTCTAAATAATGCAATTATCAATGCTTGAACTTGGAATTCGTTTACCAATCATGTTCTTTCACCTGGCTTTGGGATGGCCAACAACAAATCCTCATGTTTTCACAATTTTCATATCCTTTTCTTGATTAAATAAAATTAAGATGAATTAAAATCATAAATTAACAAAGTTAATCCAATGGACCGTCCACTAAATGCACATATTATTGTATTTGTGATTCTCAAATATAATTTATGTAGATGATTTAATGAAAAAAATTTATAACTCGAATGTGGTTTAATTAAGAATTTAATGATCCTTCAATTATCTAATATTTTAAGCATATGCAATAATAAATATTAGATGATTTGAATTTGTCATTTCAAAGGGATTAATTAATTTTTTAAATATTTTGTTTAAAAAGAATTTATATTCAGAATTCAATGATTAGCAACATGAGGAATTGAGAGGAGGAACCATATATTAAGCTAGAGAGTGGAAGGGAGTTGCCATGGATACGAGGGGCTGGCATTTGTCAGCTGTTGAGGCAGCCAAGGCCTGCAAGGGGCTGTTGCACTGACAAAGAAGAAGAAGAACCATACATTAAAGCACCTTTGACAAAAATGTTTAGTTTCTCTCAAATTGTGGTTTTCCTCCCAAGATTATTGAAGTTTTCTTTTTTTAATTATTTGATTAAGGAAATATTGAACCCAATTACTAATTTTAATAAAATGTTGGATTTTTAAATTCGAGAGACATTTTTTTAAAATTCTTATAGTAAATTTGCAAGATTTGTATTTTTTACATATTTACATATTTTACATATATTTACAATTATTAAAATATATTTTTTTTAGATATTCTATTGCTTTTTTTATTATTGCAATTTCAGAATTATTTAAATTTTATTTCTTTAAAAAAATTTAAGTTTAAACTATTATAGTTTTTCCCCATTTTTATTGTTATAATTAATTTAAAGACATTTAATGTGATGTTTATTAAGAAGTGGCACTTTATACAGAAAATCGCGAAAAATGGAAACCTGAGATTTTCTGAGCTTATGAGTCCAGAATTTTTGCACATCTGTTTTTGTGCATTTTAATCTCACTTTTATAGTAATTGCTAGATATTTGAAAATGCCTTATAAAATTGTTTAAAAACTCTGTAGAAATGTTTTTTTTCCCCCTCAAAATTTTAAGCATAATAAATTATCTTAATCATTGACTTCTACTTTGTCTTAAATTGGCTATTATTTAATTTTTTAGAAAATCAGGCTATTTAAATCACTATGTTTAATGATTTAATTGAAATCAGTGACATTGCGGTACATATTGAATATGTGTTTCATTTTATTTTTTAAATAAATGGTCTATAACCTTTAAAAGTTATCCAAACTGCATAAAGATTATTTTAATTTATTTATTTAGTTTAAACTAAATATAATTTACATTATCCTTAGCGACAAATTTCCTCAAAAATTTGCTCTTTTTTTTATTATTTTTTTAACTGTAATTTTTTTGTTAATTGAGAACCTAACTGTGAAAACCTAGAAAAGTCAGGGAAAAAACTTCTTGTCTTTGGGTATGAACCATGTAAATTGTAATTTAAATTATAGAGAATAGTAAGCCAAATATTTTATTGGCTCTCTATTCAATAATACCAATTAAAGTCAATTTAGTAAAGAAACAATAATTTTATTGGCCTTTGCTGATTGGGACTGAGTTTAAAATCTGGATAATGGTTATAATAGCTTGTAGTTGTTGATACTTTGGGATTATCTTTTCGACCTGTCAACACTCGAAAAGATGCTCAAATTCTGTGGCATCATCATAAGGAAAAGCAATTTCCAAAATAAGCATTCTAAGCACATTAAATTTATCAAATAGTAATAATAATAATAAAATAATAATAACAAAAAATGTAAGTGTAAAAATGCGTAATAAAAAAGTGTAATGAAATTAATCAAAACAAAGTAAAAACCTTTGTTTTTTATTATTAGACATTAAATTATTTTTAAATCTGACCATATATATTATTATATAAATCATTTTGGCGACTAAAAATCCTTCATAGCTTTTAAAGCACTAACAAACAAGCAGCCTTGTGCAGTCTCAAATTTAAATCATTTTGCAACAGAGTAAAAAAAAAAAAAAACAGTATATTTAAACACACTAAAGAAAAATTACTCAAAAGGACTCAAGGATTACATAGTAAATATCATAAAATTTGTGGTTTTTAGCACAGAAGCTACCTTTTGGCGATAATTTCGAGTTTGGCGAAAATGGTGGACTGCATAATTCAAAAGTAACTAATTGTTATAATAGTAAATAAAACTGAAAACACTTCTTCTCCTCTCTACTCCCTTAAAAAGGAAAAAAAATCTTGTTCCTTTATTGGAGAAACCTCTATTTTTTACTTTTCCTCATTGAAACTACCTAATACAAACTGAAACCAAGAAGAGCCAGCTCTTTCCCAGGACACCACTGCCAGATATTCGCCAGAGAAATTTTTTTAGAAGGTGGAAGGGGAGAAAACAATAAGTTCTTGGTGGATCTCGTTAGTTAATCAATGTATTGGTGTCGTTAAGCAGCATTTATTTAGTAATTCTGTAGGTATCTAGATTTATAGAGCAAATTGTAAATATTGTGCTTTTAGATCTATTTTAAGTGTCCTTTAATCATTTGTTACTGAAAATAATTTTCCTCCATAGGAAGCTAAACAGTATCTGCTTAAGAAGATAGGAGAATATATGAATACCTCTTTTAATCCTTTGTTCCTTTTGCGTGCTAAAGCTAAGGAACTAGAAGAAAAGGGAAAAAATCAAGCAGAAGAATATTGTAAACTTTATAAAGGTGTAAGTATTTTATGTCTGCATAATTACGTGATTACGTTAAACTCTGGTTGTAGAGTCACAGAGAAGTGCAATCGATAAACATTAAGCCTTTTCCTTTAATTAAAAAGTTAAAGTTTTGAAAAAATATAATTTTGTTGACTCAATTAAAAGGTTGCAACTACTCAATTGTGTTTGTAAAATTATAATTATTTTTGACATCTGGCTAATATGATAATATGACAGCTGGCTAATGTTGAAGTTCTATTAATTACTAAGCCCATCCAGCTCAAAAGAGTTTTTTTTGTGTATTATAAGAATATTCAAACTTCTTATACCCACTGTGGATTTATGTCTCATTGTTAGTAATAAAACATTTTAACCACTCACCAGTTTCACAGTAATGGTAATTTTTAAAGTACGAAAGTAATTTGGCCGTAAAAAAATTTATACAGCAGAGTATGTTTTGTTGTTTATTTTTGAAGGGTTATTGGCTCATTATCTGTACCAAGAAGTTAAGAGGACGCCATAAAATTATCTTTTTCCGGAAGAATCTCGAATCCTTTTTCCGGAATTCTCTGATTCCGGAAGAAAATTCTCTTTTTCCTTCATTACTAATAAAAAATTTAAAGTGTGAAAAAAGTGAGTTCAGACAAACCTAGAGTAAGGCATGAAGTTTCAAATACTGAAAAGGTAATTTTAAAATACACAAATGAAAATAAATTATGAGAAGATAACTTAGTATTACGCAACGGTGAAGTGCTCTTCTAATAATCTGTTTGCATTTTTATATTTTGAAGTATTTATTTTTTCAGCAATTGAAACTTCATGACTTACTCTAGGTTTGTCTGATCTCACTTTTTCTTTCTTTTGAATTTTAAATTAGTAATGAAGGAGGAAGAGAATTTGAGACAAAAAATTTCTTCCGCAGTATGGCGTCTTTTCGTAAGTAAACGTATAGGGAACTAAATAATGGAAGCACTGATTTGAGGCGTTTTAGGTTCATCCATTATCCATTGCAGGACAGGCAGTAACTTAATAAAAATTTAGAATTGTGCTAGCATGAAGATGGAAAAATGTGAGGAAATATTTAATTAGACAATTAATAATTAATTCTGTCACAATCTAAACTTAACTTTGGACGAGGAACATCAATATAGTTCAGTTAGAGAAAAACAGCCGTAATCAAATCATGAGTGAATGAATTATTTATATTCGTAAGTACATTTAAATTTTAGTATTATCCGACCAAAGTTGACATGATTTCAATCACTTGATTTAAAAAATCACCGATTAAATCATCTAAGTTTTAAAATAAACCATTGAGGTAATTCAAAATATTTTTTATATAGTATAATTTATAAATACATTCAGTTAAAAAGAAAGAGCAGTAGTCAAATCATCAGTGAATGAACTATTTATATTTGTAAGTACATTTAATGCTAATATTATCCAACATAGCTTATCTAGTATTATCCAACCAGAGTTGATATGATTTAAATCACTTGATTATAAAATCACTGATTAAATCATCGAATTGTTTTTTGAAATAAACCATTGGTTTAGGTCCAAAATATTTTTTATGTAGTATAGTCGATAAATACAATCAGTTAAAAAGAAACAGCTGTAGTCCAAATCATGAGTGAATAAACTATTTATATTTGTAAGTACATTTAAATTTTAGTATTATCCAACATGAGTGGACATGATTTAAAGCATTTGATTTAAAAAAAAATCACTGATTAAATTTTCTAATATTTTTTTATATGGCATAGTTTATAAATACATTCTTATGATTGTGATTTTTTTTTGAAGTCTGATTTCATAAATATTGAAGTTTTTTTTTCCTTGAAAAATAATGAGATAGGGGTAATGTATGTAAATTATAATTTGATAGTCAAAACAGACTGATAAAAAAACAAAACAAAAAGAGACTAAATGGGGATAAAAAACCCATGAGACTTTTAAATTATAAATTTCCACTAGCTATATGCAAAATAATTTGCTGTTTAGTAAACATATTTCAATTATACCTATTTAGTTTTGTGTTTATTTAAATACAAGCTTACTTTTGAAACGTTTTGAATATGTATTTTGTGTACATAAATAATGACTAGTAATAAAGACTTCCTCTGTCAAGATTAAGAATAATTAATTTTTTTCTTCTATTTTCTGATCTAAATAATTCAATTGATATCCAGCTGACAAATTGGTCTTTGTTTTTACAAATTCACGAAAGTGTTGAACTTGAATAAAACAATTATGGTTATATTGATTTGATTATTTTTAATTGTCGAATAATTTAAACCATTTTAAGTCAGAAACATTAAGTATTTTGATTTCAATATTATTTTTAAATTATAATAAACATTAATTATATATTTTATCAGTGTTGTTTCAGAAATGTTAAAAAAGAGAAATGATAAATTAGAAAAAGAAAAGAGAAATAAATATGGAAAAAAAATCCTATTTAATTAAAATGCTGTATTTTTAAATTTTTTTTTATTAGTTTCCCTTCTGCCTGAAAAGAAACTATTGGCATTGACATAACCAAGTATATGCCATAATAATCCTAATCTACGTTAGAAATTTAATTTACTATCTTAGAAGTATTTAATTTAATTTATTTCAGCTTTAAGTAATTAATTGAAAAAAATTATTTTGCACCTATAATATATTTGGAATTGACAAGGAATTTTTAGCTTAGCAAAAATGACCTAGTCATGCCAATGGTCAGAAAATGACAAAATGAGTAAAAAAATATTTGTTTATTGTTGTTTGTATAAGTATATTTTGTTTCAGCTGACACTTTTATGTCAAATATTATTTCGTGACCAAATATAATCAGAAATATATCTTTAATAAATTCATTATATTTTTATACAGCTTCAACTGCTACAGAGAAAACATGAAAATTTTCTTCGAAATGTTGGTATTCTCCCAAAGGTAAACAAATATTGTTAATTTATTCTTAATAAAATTTGTGGTTAATATTAAAATAAACTAATTAATATTTTATTAATAAAGTGGTATGTAATTTGATGACACAAATAAATATTGTGATAAAAAAACTATTATTTTGACTATGAAATAAATTAAATAACAAAAATATTTAGTAAAATATTCATGTCAGCACTTTAAATACTTTAATTATTTTCTATATTAATTTGCTTACATAATTATGTTGTTATTTATCTTGTAATACAGCTTCATCTTTTAGATCATATTTAGTTAGTATAGCTATTTTATTATTATTGTAATTATTATTTTACTACATTCTATTTGTTTAACAGTAATTATTAATGCAAATAATTTAGGTTATTAATTTATTATGTTATATATATTGTAATACAGCTTCATCTTTTATCTGTTATTTAATTATTATTGTTATTTAATTATTATTGTTATTTTATTAATATTACTATTGTAATTATTGAAATACTATATTCTACTCTTTTAGGTAATTACTTTGTTATTAATATAAATAATTTAAGTTTTAGCAATATACTAACAGTTATGCTAATAATGTTAATAATTTAATGAATAATATAATAAGTTAATTTAATTATCAAATTATTTTGAATAATAAACTTTTTAGCTAAAAAATAAATATTCTTGAGAAATCTGTTTGAAATAATGAATAAAGCTGGATAATGAATAAAATTGTAATTAATTATTTTAGAAGCTGTAGAATGTTTTTAATTTATTGTGCTATTTTTGTTGAAATAAACTTTATTTTTACAGATTACAATGTGTCATGAAAATGTTTCTGCTGACCTCCCAATGGAACCTGTACCTAATCCAGTAAGTTATTATTACAGTGTCCACAATTTAATGTGATTCTATCAGTAGCTGAAAGGTCTTGATTCCAGCATATGGCTGATTCTACTAACTAGATATCTATTTTATTTTTAAAAATAAAATTGAGATGCTATTTTAGTTTTTCATGGTATTACAAATATAAATATACAATAGGATTCAATTAAGTAAATTTTCAATTAATAACAATTAAAATGTCAAATATAAGTCTTATTTAAAGGTATTGTAACTCTTTTAGTTTTATTATAATATTAATAAGATTAGAAACACATAAAATTTATTCTTTTTGTTGATTCATTTATGCTAGTAAAACTTAAAAAAAAACTCTGCTGTTTTCCAGAGAACTTAGCAAATTAATCACCTCTTATATTTGTTGAAAGGAAATATCCCTTCACTGCAACACTTACAACTAACCCTTCTGCATTCTAACTAATCCCAAACTCCACCTTCCTAGCTGAGTGACAATAAATTATTAGCTATTAAAGTGAGCCGAAAAAATAGCCCTATCTCATCATCATTTCTGATTTAACAGCTCAGTATGGGACAAAACCTTCTTCATTAGAATGCAGGTTTTTAATGCTATGGTCCTATAATTTTTAAAACGTAGAAGTAATTTTTAATGTCATTAACCCATCATAGTCTAGATCTTTCTCTGGATTGGATCACAAATGGTTTAGCCATAAAGATTTGTTTTAATCTTCAATTACCATTGATCTGATGAGATGTTTACTTCAGTTTAATAGACTATATTTAATAAATTGAATTACATTTGATGTTTTGTAGAATTTTTCTAATTCAGAATGTAAATTTCTTCACTTATCTTTGCTTTTTTAAATATAGTCCTCAAGATCTTACACTCAAATGTACGAATCATATTTTCACTTTTTGGATGAAGATCCATGCTTCCATAGCTTATCTTAAAATAGGACTGATGTTAGACTTGTAAAAGAGAACTTTGGTCCAATCATCTAGCCTGTGATATAGCCAACAGGGAGCAAGAGGGGACATCTGTCCCTGGATGTAATGTTAGAAGGGAGCAAAATACATGAAAAATAAATAAACAGAAATTTCCAGAATGCAATTTTTATTTTTTAATTTCCTCTGCTTCATTTGCTAATTAGGGGCCTCATAACTTAGACAAATTTTTATCCGATTGACCTAAATATTACTTATTATTATTATGTTAGTTGCTTCATATATAGCTATTTAAAAAAAATTTTTTTTTTTTTATAACAAATTGGTGTCACATTGAAGGAAAAATACCTTTAGAATAAGTGCTGATCGCTCTCTCAAAAACAAACTCAATCAAAATGTAATGGAAATTACATCAATAACACATTTTTTTAAACAGAATTGAGTGAAAATTAATAAAGATATTGAGTAATGTAATTTTAAAGTACATTTTTTTTAAAGGTGCAAAATTTTTTCAATTAAAATTTTACAAGCCATTGTAAAGTGTGATGGTTTAAAGTATATATATTATCAAATACTTAAATGGCTTGTAAATCTGACATTTATTAAAAGAGGGTGCAAAAACTGAGTTTGTCTCTGCTGTAAATCTTAGCTGCTTATAAATCTAGTTTACTTTTATTAATTTTTGATGAGTAACCAAGTCATTTGGATTCATGATTTTCAACAGTTTGAAGTCTAATAAATAAAGAAATTTTATAAGGGATTTTATCTTTGGAAATTCGGTGTTACCAAGTGACTGAGTTAAAAAAGCAGTGATTATACAAACAGTAAGGCAATGCATTACTATTATTTAATGTTATATTTTGTTTTGTTTCTTTTGGATCCGCTTTTTAAATAGTGCAACTGCGATGTTCTGGGACATAAAAAAATGCTGAAATTAAGGAATTCTAATATTTAAATTAATAAACACATGTGAACATAAATTTGGTCCTGAAATCTGAAGTACCAAGTTTGATACCCATTTCAATATGCTTTGCTCAACAGATATCAATCTCTCTCCCTGTCTTGCGAAGCATTTCTTGAGTTTCAGTTTTGGCCACGGTTATATTTCAAGGTGGCTGATTGTACAAAATGTTCTTAATGTTTTCCCATAAGAAGAAGTCAAAAGGTATCAAATCAAAGGTTTCATTGATTATATATTTTATCTGTTCCATTATAAAAGTTTTGGAAGCTTAATATTTAAGACCTCATGCACAAATAGAAAAAAAAAGTGAGCTAGGGCTTCATCCTGCATTAAAATTATATTATTCCAAATATAGCATTAATTGTAGAAAGACATACATTTACGGTGTTTCCGGTTGCTTTTTCTTTAACAACTGGTTCTACAAGAAAATCTTGGCAAACATTTTCTGACTGTAAGCATAGCAGGAAGTGGATGAGCAGAAACCGGTTTTGAAATTTGAGATGGGACTAGTAAAGTGAGCTAGGAAAATAACTAGCGTTCCTTTACTATATTTAGCCACTAAAATTATTATTAATTATAAAATTAAATAATTATAATTAACTTTCTTCAAAATACAGTACAGAACCCGTTATCCGGAAATCAAAAAACCGGAAAACCAAAAAACCGGAACGAAATTCGATAAATTTTCCAACCATTTTTTAAAATAAAAATTTTTTTTTCCTCATAAGATTTAGTATTTTTCTTTCTTTTTCGAAAGATGTTTACCTTAGAATCATTTTGGAAATAATCATTAGTGTATTACTTCATCATTTTTTCTTCCTTTTTAGATTNTTGTTGTAGATGGTTATGGAAGTTTGAATACAGTTTGATTTTTGTATTTCTTTATTGTAGGAGGCATTACTGAAAAAAGAACTTAGTATAACAAAAGTAGATAACTCTGCAAACAAAGCAACTACAGTGCTTACGACACAAGCAAAGACAACCACTGCACCTGCTGCAAAGCCCTCTAATATTGAATGTATAGATCTGACAGATGAAGTGGAACCTCCCCCTCCCCCTGTAATTACTGCAAAAAGTGAGTAAATTTTTTTTCATTTTGAAATGTTTTGCATTTTAAAATTTATTAAATTTTAAAATTTATTTAATTTTGTGTTCTTATTTTTTTAGATGTGGTATACCCTGCTATGACAATGGTATGTTGGAAGTTAATTATTCTTTCTTGCAAAAATTGAGGTTTGAAAAATACAGTACAGAACCCGTTATCCGGAAATCAGAAAACCGGAACATATTCAATAAATTTTCCCTCCATATTTTTAAAAAATAATTTTTTTTTCTTCATAAGATTTTAGGATTTCTCTTTCTTTTTTGAAAGATGTTTACCTTACCATCATTTTGGAAATAATCATTAGTGTATTACTTCATCGTTTTTTCTTCTTTTTAAGATTATTTCCAAACAATTTTTTTTTAGTTTGGTTTAACAATAAAAAGCGGCTTTTTGTAGCGATTCAGAAAAACGGAAAAATCAGTTATCCGGAATAGCGATGATCCCGATCGTCCGGATAGTAGGATAGTCCTACTGTGCTTAGAACAACAGTATAGGGCAGTGATAAGTAAACTTATTTGGGTGTCTTATTTTTATTGCCTAATGCATCGGTTTCAAATACTTGGGTACTGTACTATGGGTACTGTACTATGGGTGTATGTGGTACTGTACTATGGGCGCTATACGAGAGTCTAAAGCAAGATAAATCTTGGAGTGCTTCCGTGATCGACAGCCAATAAAGTGTAGATTTGTCTTATTTTTTTACTTTTAGGTTTAGCTCCTCAATTTTGTTTTGTTTTCCTTTACAAAACTGGTGGTTTGCACAACTCAAAAGGTTAGGAACTTCTGGTCTAACAGGTCAACATACATAAAAAAAAAATAGTTGTGTAACGCAATTTATTCTTTTAAAAAAGTGTGTAAATATTACATTAAAATAAATAATTTGATAAATGAAACTCTTAATACATATTTAAACATTTATTAAACTCAGATTTAAATTGTGATATATTTTTATGTGACGAAAATCCTTTTAAATATTTTTGTGTGGCAAAAGGGAAAATAATCTTTCAGATTCACTACAGATATATTATGGCATATACAAATGTAATTAAAATACCCCCAAAGTTAGGAAAAGTGAATCGCTTTTGTTTAAGCAACCTATAAGTTCAATATTTTTTCTATGAAAATTTCTTTAGCAACAATTTTCAGCTCTAATGACACACATAAGTATACTGTAATATGTGTGAGGAATAAGGAAAAATTATTTATAAACCAGGTACAAAAATCAGGGGAGTGTTTGTGGCCTTCCTGTTTATGTATTTCTAATATAATATTTTTAGGGTTTAAAATTTTTATTCTAATTTATTTGTTTATTTTTTTTTCATAAAAAGATTCTTTTTTCTTTAAACTACATTGTGCTGATTAATTTTCACTCACTTTTACTTCAAAGACTTAAAGAAAACTTTTTTTCTTTGTCTTTTTTTTGTAATTATATTAACTAAGTTTAACCAAATAAATATTTAAAAATTATATAAATTAGAAATAATATGGAATGGATTTTTTTATTTTCCAAAATCATAAAACCTTTATTCTACTGGGCATTTAATAATGTAATTTTAAATTTTTATCTTGAATCTTATTTTTCATACACAAATATGAGATAATTGATGTAAACATATTTGTACTTTCTAGTGTTGATAGTTATCTAACATAAAATTTCAAACTTTTTTTTATATTTTATAAATATAAAGATATTTGAATTTATTTTTATAGTTATATAATAACTTTTATAGTTATATAAAATTATATATTTATAATAATAATTATAAATATATAGAAATATATTTATATATTTTTATAGCTGAAGCATCCTGCACCATTACCACCTAGACCAACAACTAATGTTAAAAGAGTACCACCTAAACCCCGTCTTAAAATATCAGCTGAAGATAGGGGTAAGCTTCAAATTTTTAAGCTGTATTTTTTAAAGTATGAAATTAAAGCAAGCTTATAATTTTAAGCTGTGAAATATTTTAAAAATGAAACTAAAGTAAGTTAACTATTTTTCAAGTTAAACATTAAGAAAAACTTAAATGTTTTTATACACTAGATATCTTAAAATTATCAGCTGAAGATAGGGGTAAGTTTCAAATTTTTAAGCTGTATTTTTTAAAGTAGGAAATTAAAGCAAGTTTCAAACTGTGAAATATTTTAAAAATAAAACTAAAGTAAATTAACTATTTTTCAAGTTAAACATTAAGAAGAACTCAAATGTTTTTATACACTAGATATCTTAAAATTATCAGCTGAAGATAGGGATAAGTTTCAAATTTTTAAGCTGTATTTTTTAAAGTATGAAATTAAAGCAAGTTTCAAACTGTGAAATATTTTAAAAATAAAACTGAGGTAAGTTAACTATTTTTCAAGTTAAACATTAAGAAAAACTCAAATGTTTTTATACACTAGATATCTTATATTTTCATGAAAATTATTGAAAATTTATTGTTGTATTAATGCATACAATTTTTTAACTGCACATAATTAAATAATTTTTATTTTTGGACTTTTTGGTTATAATGGACAATATGTAATCTTTTATCTTTGTGACATATCTAAATTAAGTGTTAATCAAGCTTATGGCAAAAACTTAAGTATTTGTCTCAATTTGTTTTAAATCTTAATCAAACCTCGTTTTTGAAAATACTCCACAGGTTGTGTATTATTAAGGTGTAGAACAATGCATTATATAAAAAGATTTCAAACTTTTTAATTTGAAAAGCAAATGCTTTGAAATAACAACATTTTGTTTCACTTTTTAAGAAAAAAACATTTTGTATCTATGAAATTTCAAGAAAATCTCAGAAAAATTCAATTTTATTTATTTTTTTTTTTTGTAAAATTCTATTTTTTTAAAAGTATTTCAAATAACATTTGTTTCTAAGCCTCATTTTATAAGCAAACTTTTTAAAAATTAAATTTTTTAGAAAATTATAATGCTAGGAAGTTCTTTATTAATTAGGTATGATTAAACCGTCTAGCATCAAAAATAAGAGAAAGAATCATTTTGGACATTCATTATCTCTTTAAGCTGTAAAATTTTTTGGGATGAAATTTTTATTTTTTAAACTTCATTTTGAATTAATACAAGTATGATTTGCATTAAAGAAAAAATAGCATTGCAATTGTTCTTGGTCTGGCAAAAAATAGTAATTTCCAATTTTTTTTTTGTGCCTAATTTACAGTGCATTAATGGGTATTTAATGTTGAGTATGCAATGCATACTTGTATTAATTAAACTTAGAATTTTAATCGGAAAATGAATTCAATTTACAAAAGCAAAATAAGCTATTATAACATTAAATCAAAATGGAAATGCACCAAAGCAGCTAAAGCCAAATTTGCTTTATTTTAATTTAGAAATTCATTAAATCAGAAATTTTGACCCCTGAAGAAGTGCTGTCTTACAAACACACATAAATTTTAATTTTTCCTGTTTTAATGTTTATTTGAATTTCTAAATTAAACTTAGAATTATCTTTCATTTTAACCCTTAACATAATGTAAAGAGTATAAATTTATATAGTTGTCGATTAAAGCCTCAAGATTCTCTAATACTCTCTACTTTAATCAGCTAATACTAGCTCTACTGACCCTAGTACGTTCAAGACTGAACATATTTTAACATATTTTTTAATACATATTTTACATATTTTAACATATTTTTTTAATACATATTTTACATATTTTAACATATTTTTTAATAAAGCTATGTATGGTTTTTAAATACACGTACAGCCTTTGGCTGGCATAGTGTCTAAAAATTTCATCCATTGTTAAGATAATATGAATTGTAGATACTGGCTTTGAGTTCTAACTGATTAGGGTTAGTTAGGCCTAAATTTGGAAGCATGGAAAATTCTTCAAGCTTTAACAGGCTAGTATTGGTAATTCCCTCTTTAATCAGTTAAGTTTAGGTTTATCCCACATTTGTGCTTTATCCTTAAAATATTTACTGTAAAGGTTATAAAATAAAACAAAATTATAATTTGTTTTTCAGGCATAGTATTACAGTGGGATATGCCTCCAAATCCAAAAAGCAATCCTACTTATGACCCTATTCAGACATTTGAAATATTTGGCTATCAAGAGCAGAAAAACTCAGTCATTAATACATCTCTTTGGAAGAAGATAGGAAGCGTGAAGTCTATGAGCTTGCCAATGGCGTGTACTTTGACCCAATTTGTGGATGGAAATAAATACCACTTTGCAATAAGAGCTGTTGATGTGAATGGATCATGTGGTAATTACAGTGATGCTATTAGCATTGTTTATAAGCAGAGAACACCGGTAAGATATATATATTTTTTCTATGAAGAATTTGAAAGTTTATAACTTTTTTAGAGGTTTACTTAACAGTTCTTTTGTCATTGAAATTAAGAAAAGTCACAGTTTTAGTACCTTAAAGCAGAATTTAAATTTTAAGCTATATTTAATATCTTGTAGTAAATAATTATTTTGAACTTTGAAATGGACTTAAAATTTAAATATTTAAGAAAAATTATTTTACTTTTTTAAAAGCGACTAACTTGGCTGAATTTTTACACCTGCGTGAAAGCCATGGAAATCAGTGAACAATTTCCAGTTTTTGAATAGTCTTGTAAACCCAAAAAATACTGCATTGGAGAAACTTTTCAAAAAATAAAAAATGAAATCAAAAACAATTGTTATTTTCAAAGGCTTCTTCAAATTGATACTTAGCACCTTCATATTGACACACCATATTGACTTTAGCCAACCTTTTCCATCTAGATGAGAATCATCACAATCAATGCAATATTTTTCAATTTTTTCATGTTTTATAAGCCCAAAAAATGCAGCATGGGAGTAATTTTTCAAAAAAAAAAAATGAATTGTATATTATTGTTTTATAACTTTTTTATTAGTTTCTTTTATCGTTTTTTTTGCTAATAGAATAATTTATAATCCAAAATCTTTCCCAAGTTAGAACTTTGGCATAACGACTATGATTTGAGTTATTCTAAAAGTTCACATTCCCTGTAAGCAGAGTTAGATAAAATGAAAAAACTTTCTGAGCACACAAAATCATATTTAAAAAAGGTTTTGCAGTAGACGTAGATTAACTCTTGTAACTACTATTTTCAATCCTTGCGTCTCCACCTTATTTTGGCGAAATTTGTGTGAAAATGGTTGATTTAAAAAAATTTTTTTTTTTAATTTTTATAGAACTCTATATTGACTCATATTACAGAGTTCGGTAAAAAACCAAAAAAGCTGAAAATAGAAATCCAAAAATGTTATGTGCAGAAACACTTTTTAAATAATTGAAGAAAAAAATGCCTGAAATTTAAGCAAAAAAAAGTGTCCGTAGGAATCATTTATCCACAGAATGTTATTAGTGTTTTAATAAAAATATTGATGCGCGATTTTATTATTTATTCAAATTGTGTGAATATGAATCTCAATGTGTGACTTTTAAATTATGCGAATACTAATCTTAACATTTAATTAAAAAAACGTCATAAATACGAATCTCAATGCTTAAGTTTAAGATCGCTATATCTCGATGTTTGATTTTAAAATTGCGTGAATACGAATCTCGATGTGCAATTTTTAAGTCACTTGAACACGAATAAAAATAGTGGCTTTGAAATCGCGTTAACATGATACGTGATAATTGATATAAAATTGTGAAAATACGAAACTCGATGCCCGATCTTAAATTGCATACAGGAATTGCGATGTATGAGTTTAAATCATGTGAATATAATTTTAAATCACGTTTGCATTGATAGGGAAATGCACAAAAACAAATTTTTTTTCTCGGTTATTCAGAAAAGACAAACTTTCTTTGAAGAGAAGGATTGTTTTTTTTTCTTTTTTAGTTACAGTAGAAAACTTTCTCAATGGGAACAGATTTTCCATGAATGGCATTCGCGTGTTCATGTTTATTATACAGGTCTGCATGTAACTGAACTCAACCATTTTATAAAACTTTCTTTTTTCATTAATTTTTTTAAAATCCTTTTCCTTAATGATGCATTATCAAAGTTCTATATGTGTTTGCTTTTACAGCAATTTATAGCATTTATAATATTTTTTTTTACCTGCATTTATGTTTATTATATTTGAAACATTAATTTTTTGTCTTTCAAAATGTACTGAAGTGTTGTAGTTTAATAGTACGTATTCTTAAAGAATTTTTATTTATGTATGAATCTTTAATTGCATGCATAAAAGTATCTAAAATATAAATTAAATTTTTCTTTGTAATTATACAACATAATATAATAAACCTTTTGTTTTGCCCTTTCTATTTGCGCATGTTGTGCATCTATTTAGCATATCGCGTTACATGTATGAGCAGTACCTCAACAGTATTATGAAGAATACATATTTTTGTCGTGGATATTTAATAATATCAAGTAATTATTCATTTTATTTTGGAACGGACTGGAGTCTCAGTCTGCAGTTGCATCTTTCTAGGACGTTCAAATATTAAAAAAGAAATATTTGACCTTGACAACATATATATATATGTATTCTTGACAACAAATATATTTATGTTTGTAATTATGCAACATAATGTAATAAATCTTTTGTGTTACAGTGTCCTGGATATTCAATAATAATGAGAAATTATTAATATTATTTTATAATGGACTAGAACTCCAGTTTGTTGTTACATCCTTCTAAGAAGTTCTAATAATAATAATAATAATAAAAAATAAAAAAAATCATTTTGGAAACAAATATATAAATTTCTTCAAAATATCTTACACATTTAGATGAAATATTTATCAGGCTTTAATACCATTTTATTTCATAATACCATAATAAATCATAATATTTATTAATGATATATCTATATATATATTTCTCTTACACGGCACCAAAAAAAAGCCTCATTACAACTCCCCGAATGGCAACGTTAGAAAATCAACCAATGATTGCTGCTAAAAATGTCACATGGCAAATGTCACATGAGGTNTTGATGCTTAATTATTTCTTATACAGTTGAACCTGTTTATCTTGAACCTCTTTATCTGGAAAACCTCTATATCTCAAAATTTCGAAGATTAACTACATTTACTGTCTAAAATCAATGTATTTTCCATGCTTATGTCGAAATTTTTTACTTCCAAAACCTCCGTTTCTCGAATTTCTAATAATAAAGTCCAAATGTCAAAATTTCTTTATCAGTAGAAATTGCAGGCAGAGATGAATTTCCTGAACCCACAGGAAATAGGGATGAACAGGTTGGGGGTGTTTCTTGAAATTTCAATCACTATCCCTGCACTTCCTTAACTAGAAAGGAACACAACGATTCCAGCAGTAAGTGAGGGGTGAATGAGTAGTGACCACCAGAGGTTAGCTTTTCAGCATAGATAAGAAAGCTAAGAATATAAATTCATTTTCACTTCAAAATTGTAACCAATAGATCAAAGGATAACCAAGAGTTTTAAAGTGAACTGTTGGTACACAAACTTGTAGATGGAATCGATGAAAAAAGTTCTTTTCCAAAACTAGATGCTGTCAGAATTACTGTTTTGCCTGGAGAAATGGGTCTCTAAAAACTATCCAAAATGGTTTTAAAAAGCTGGTTTTAAGAATAGCTGTGAAGATGATGACCAAGAGGTTGAAGGCATCAGTAAAGAAGAAGAAACTGTTGACGCTGAAAATGTAGTGCCAGATTTGCCAGAATGGAATGCATTAAAATCTGGATTTAATGTTGACATCGATTTTGAAGATTTTCACAAGTGGACAGATGCAGAAATCATAGATAATGTCAAAGGAATATCAGATGAAGAGGAAGAAGCCAAAGATCATATTGATGAGCCAAAAGTGAAAGCAAAAGGGGTGGAAAAAGTTGTAGAATTCTTTTAAACTATTCTGAATTCCAGGAAAATGTTGGCTATGAGGGATTTGCACTCTTTCTAACCTTACAAGATTAATCGAAACAAATAAGGTCACACGTCAAAAATCTTTGAAAAAGTATTTTCAGTCTTAAATGTATGTTAAAAAAATGTTATGTGAATAGATGTATGTGGTATAATTAATTTAACGAAATTATTTTTTCTACTAAAAACAATTTAAAGCACTTTTAATAGAATTTCTTAATTAAATTTAATTTTTTAAAGTACCTGAATAACTCGAAACCTCTTTATCTTAAATTTTTTGCCTTTCCCGTGAAATTCGAGATAAACAGGTTCGACTGTATTACATATTTTTATAAAAATCTGAAGTTAAGCTTCAAGAAACATTCGTATTTATATATTTGATAGATTTTTTTATGTAAAAATGTACTTTATTAATTTCTTTTCAGAAATAATGCTTATTGAAATTAGAAGAAGAGAAAGCTGTAGAATTGTTGCTGTTATGTATTTTCTCCACTGTAATATATTTTCTGTACTTTATATGTATAAATATATGTGTATAATAAAACTTTTATCCAAATACTTAAAATATTAGTTCTATTCTTTTGTTATATACACAATCCATTGAATTGTGGTGCAACAAGATATTATAGTACAACAAGATATTATAGTACAACAAGATTACTATAACAAGATTTTTTCTTATCTTCAAAAGGACTAAAATTTAAAAATTTACTTTGACCGTATTTAGTGTGCTGGTTTCACATTTGAAATCAATTTCTCTACATCTACTCTTATATACTTAGTTATTCATTATAAAATGTAGTTTTAAAACTTCAAAGTGAATAAAATTTTTTCTTCATCTTGTAGACGAAAGAATTCTTTTTAACAATTGAAATAAGTTTTGAGCTTAAAAACAAATAATAGAAAAAAATTATTTAAAATTAAAAATATATTTTGTTATTGCAATTTTTCCAACCGAAGTATGGCTGACTGCTGCCTGACTCTTTAACCCAATATACCACTGCTCAAACTGTGACAAAATTGCGCAATTGCTCCAAAGCGAAACTTCTACTCCAAAATACCATTTTTTCCCAAAATTAATCCAAGCTGCCCCTAAACTCCAATAACATTCATTGAACAAAAAGCGTGACTTCGGCTCAATTTGGAGCTAAATTTGTACACAAAAATTAGCTTTGTTGCTCCAAGACATCAAGCAATTTTCATTTTTCACTTAAATGGTGTTTAGTTACGTGCGTTCTAATCTATAGCGTTCTAATCTATATATTGATTAGGTCCCTGATCAAATAGAGCGCGACCAAAAGTTATTACTAAAATAACTAAATTCACTTTTCCAGTGATTCCATCTAATCGTTATTATATTTTAAGTATGGCAAAAATCGTAGAAAAACCCTGAAAAATAAGCTATGGCGCGTCCCGTGGGATACGTAATTCTCCTACACAGGAAAAAAAAAATAACGTGCAAACAGATGTATGAAGTAGAATTATAACCAAACTTTAAATACAATACGTATGAACTAAATTCTTTTTCTTATCAATCTCTTTACTATCTTTTTTGATTTTTTTTCTCTATTGTATCAAATTACATGGCTGCTTTTACTTGATGCAGGGTTTTGATCAGACCTAATCAAGAGTGCTAATTGTCCAAAATCTTGTTTTCAAATTTTTTTTTTTTTTTTTTTACACCAATAGCGGAAAGAATTAGGAATGTGCATATTAATTGATGGATAAAGTTGTAGAGAATTCATATTTTTAATAGGGACCCGCTATTTGTAAAGCGGGGCACAGCATAAGCATTGCGGTTAGGATCCTCCTCAATATTTTGCCGAAATGCAAATTCTTTAAAAAAAAAATCGTTTGCATAATTAAAACAAAAGGTTTTAATAACTGAGCAAAAATAAGATTATTACATCCACTATCTCATTTTTTCTATTCAAAACTCCCGCGTATTATTATTATTTTATTTAGTTTGGCTTCAATACTTAGTTTGGATTCAAAGATAAAAGGTCACTTTTAAAGAGAGAAAAAGATTTTTAATTATTGACTTAATAATCGTCTGCTTCATGAAGCTTTCTGTGTGTTTTTGTTGGTAAACGCAGCAACTGTATGTAAACGCAGGTGAAGTGAATATCAGTCTATTTTTTTTAAAAGATTCAGAGGAATCATTGATTACTAATAAAGACTTCCGTAATGAGCCTTTTTCCTGGAATGTACTCATCCATAAGTTTGGTTTTTCGAAACAAGATCTTTTGTTTAATTTGAAATTTGAATTTTAACACTCGTAAGAAAAAAAAATGTCCGTTTCAAAATTTGCTCTTTTTCATTTTTTCAAAAAAATTGGATTTCTCTTAAGGTAAGTAAAATATTTTTATTTTAAGATTCGAGAAAAGCATTTATTTAAATTGCATTAACGGCATTAATGTCTAGTAATAGAACATAATTTTATTTTACAAATTTATTGTTACTTTTTTTAACCAGTCATTTTTACAGATATACGTACTAATTTTATTTGGTTAAAATAGTTAATAGATGTTTTGAATTCAGAAGGTGAATAAAAATAAAACGGCATAAATAATAATTATAATTTGCAGAAGAAATAACCCTACAGATGCTAGGGAAAAAAAACTACCTTCTCTTTCACTATGATAAATATCGCCATAAAAAATAATTTATTTGTATTAAACGCTTTAAAAGTTAAAGCTCTTATGAGAGAAACTCATTACCATACAATCATTTATAATCAAGTAATTTTTATTATACCAGGGAGAAATAAGAGGGTATAATAAAATATGAATATTCATAATTCAATCTAAACTATCACTAATCTATCCAAATGTTTAAATTAAAATAAAGAAAGGAGTGAAAATTTCTTAGAGTGTTCATAATTTCAATTTCGATTTTTTTTTTTTTTTTTTTTTAAGTTTTGCTTATTCGACATTTTCCCTTCTGGTTCTTTATTTTTCGTCTTTTAAAGTTTATATTTATCACTGTAGTGCACTTCTTAAATATGAAAGCCTAAAACTAAAGTTTTGTTTGGGAAATACTGTTATGAACAAGGCTCTCAAATTAAATTGCCCGATGTGAGCGAGACATGCATTTTTTTACCCTTAAATACCCTGCCAAGCAAGTAATTATTCAGCGATATCGTAAAATATCAATTAATCTCTCCTCAAAGTTTGAAGGAATCCTTGGAAGCTGCGAATCTAGGTCACCGAAGGAAAGTAAAAAAATCTATTATATTTCATAAGACCTAAATATTGAATTTAATTATCTAAATAAAAACAAAGAAGACAAACAAAGACAAGTTTTAAATTTTTTATTTCTCTTGTAATTCTTATTTTTAAGCATTACAAGAGAATTAATAAGTAATGCTTATTTTTAAGCATTACTAGGCAAAGTTTTTTAGTATTTAAACAAAGTTTTAAAAAATTTTATTTCTCAAGTAATTTTTATTAAAAAAATGTTTATAACTGCTTAATTAAAACCCACATATTTAGTGCACTGTGTTAAAGTATTGGACAATTTTTTGAATAATTTGATTCTTATGCGTATAAATATCAGTTGTCATAATTGTCTAAAAATCAGAGTAATTAATTGTCATCTTTTTAATATTTATTTCTAAATAAATACTTTCGTTTTTAAAATGGCTTTTTTCTTGATTAGAATATTTAATATTTGAATTCTATGACTTAATACTTTAATTCATTCAATCCCTAGTGTCCATAAAAATGATATAAAAATTGCTATATTTTGAAATTAAGTTTTCTTATCTCTTTGTTATCCTTAATAAATGATAGTATTTCAAAAATGAATTTCCTTCTTTTCGAAATTGTTAAAGTCCATAATTTCCAAACAATATGCGACAGCTGCGTTTTCAAATCTATTTTCGCTTCAAATCATGTTTTTGCTAGTATTTTATTTCACTTACTTTCTATTTTTAATACAACGGAATATAAGACATCGGAAATCGTCTTAAAAAAGGATTCATTTTATTATCTTTTTTCTTCAGAAAAATTCCTTTCTATTTCAAGGAGCTATTTTAAAATATAGGATAACTGCTTCTATTTCATGAAGCAGTTATGCGTTTTTTCCAGGATATTAAAAGTTTGCGAAATGCTCTCGGGGTGATAAATTCTCTGTACAATTTAGTAAATGCGCAAGTACTTTTTTTTTAAATGCATTTTGGTTTCAGTGTAAATAATTGTAATATTACTTTAATTTAAGTTATAGGTTTTTAATGATCTTTACAGAAGATATAGTTTTGTTCTAAAAGCTCAATTAATATATATTTATATTAAATGTTTTTCATTTGATTTTGTAAATATGTTTTGAAATGCTGTCATTTCTTTCGAGTGTTCGAGTGAGTATTATAAATGATATAATTTAATGGGTTATTAGCTTCATTAAAAAATAACCTTCATTAAAAATTAGGATGCGATGAATCATTGCTTAATTATCATATTTTCTGATTCATTATTTAAATTACAGTCAATTCGCTATAACTCGAAGTACGATAACTCGAATATTACTATAACTCGATTTTTTTATGAGGTCCCGACCCTTTTATCTTCAATTTCATGTTAATTATTCTCGATTACTCGAACTTTACTCCCTTTAACTCGATTTTTTTTGGATCTTTTAAAGCAAGAAAAAAAACCTAGGAGCTGATATCTTGCCCCTTCCTTTGCAACACACACACAATGTCTTTCGCACTCTTCATGGAGAAGCTAAAGCTGTCCCTCTTGAAGTATGTGAACAGTGGTTAAATGAAACGTTACCAAATTTACTTCAAGGATACAGTTAAAATGATGTTTTCAATATTGATGAAATGGGTTTATTTTTTAAATGTCTTCCAAATAAGACTATGATGTTTAAGGATGAAAACTGCTCAGGGGGTAAAATGAGCAAGGAACGTTTGACTGTCCTAGTTGGAGGAAATGCGTCTGGGACAGAGAAATTGCCCTTACTTGTTATCGGAAAATACCGAAATCCCCGATGTTTCAAGAATGTAAAAACGTATCCTTTGGATTACAAGTCTAACAAAAAGTTTTGGATGACATCAGTTTTATTTGAAGACTATGTAAGAAAATTGGATCGGAAATTCTTCGCTAAAAAAAGAAAAGTGATACTCTTTATGGATAAATGCACAGCGCATAGTGATCTACCTAATTTGAAAGCAGTAAACTTGCAGTTTCTCCCGCCAAACACAACAGCAAAGTTGCAGCCGATGGACCAGGGTATCATAAAGTGCTTCAAACAGTCTTATCGTAAATGGCTTGTCAGAAAAATGATCTTAAATATTGTAAGCATTTAGAAGATTTGTAATTAATAAATAAGCATTAATTAAATAATCCAGCAATATTTTGAAAGTCCAAAACCGAAACTGACGGTAAGTCGAACTTCCGATATGTCGAAGTTTTTTGTCAGTCCTATCAGATTCCAGTTATCGCGAATTCACTGTATAAATTTTCAGTAAAAAAATAGAAAATTTTCTTATTGTAACTTTATTTATTTATTTATTTAATATTATTAACTTGAATTATTTATTTAATATTATTAATATTATTT